GAGCTCACTGAGCAGAACTAACTGAAACTTTGGGATAATACCTAATTCGGGGCGTTGATCATTTTTGTAATACATTATGAAGCACGAAAATGGCCAGAAGATAGGAATATCGCGTAGTCAAAACAGCTTTTCCGGGTTTTCTGCATGATGGAAAGTTTGCTGTAAGCTGAAAATAACATCAAAAGATGCGCAAAAATTTTCTGCATCGAATGGTGTACCTTTTACGATGCAGCAAGTTTTCCATCATGTCGAAAAATTCTACTTACGGAGCCTCGGCTGAAAAAATCAAAAATTGCAGGTATCAAAAACGTTCCCCGATTTCGAGAGACGAAAACATACCGATCGCAAAAAAAGAGCAAAAAAAAATTCGGCTTCTGAGAGATGGCTGGCTCTCGTCGGTCCGTCACCCCGACGGACTCGAGGTCGAAAAAATAGCGAAATCAACGAAAGCTAACGTCTTAACCCCATTTTCCGAGGTTTTCTTCGTTATTTTGGGCTATAATTAAAGCTACTATTATATTTTTGATGCTCTATGAAAACGCATCGAGAAACCCCCCGGAAAAAATAGCGAGAATATCGAAAAAACCCCCTGCTGTTTTGTCCCCGGTGTCGGTTTTTGCCCCCGGCCAAATAGAACAGTACCTCTAATAGAAATCTAGCAACGGTTTTTGAGCTCTTTGCTATTTCTAAACGTCCAAACTTTTAAATTGTGACTGGACTCAAAAGACAAATTTTTCCACCGAAAATCGACGAGTTCATTTTTTGTTGACCAGTTTTGCTAGTGTTCAAATGGCTTTTGCACCCGAAATAGGATTGACTTCGATTGGAAACTATCAAAATGCGTGGGATTACCTCACTACGCATTGGTGCTCCCTCTCCCCGCAACAGAAAAGAACCATTACTTGGCAGATTACCCGGATCGTCCGTTCTATGGTTGCCATTGGTGGTATGTATATATGGCAGCCCAAGCATTCGCATCTCCAACGAATCCAGGCAAATATCCGATGTGCTGTCGATCGGTTCAGCGTCGGCTGCGTATGTGAAATTTTCGTTTCCGGTATACGAATAATTCAGTTTGACGATCTGAGTGAAGTAGTGCGTTGTCGAAGATGCCGAACGGTACGCCCATTGTTGCAAACATGGGGCGAGAAAACTCCCGAAATCCCGGTACAAAAAATTTAGCTACTCTCATAACTCAGAAGCAGGCCCGTAGGGGGGGGACAGGGCCGCCAACCGCTTCGCGGCTTTTCAACCCTGGCCCCGTCTAACGCATATCCTACTATCCTACTATATATCCTACTATATATAAAAAATAGTGTTTGTGTGTGTATGTGTGTGTGCCACTTTGCATGCAACTTCCGTCAGGGTGTCCGGAAGATATCTCAAGGGGGAAAGGGTATTAGGCTACATATGATACGTCATTAGGTGCGTGATCGTCTGGAGATGACTGCACGCATATCAGATTTTGCAAATTATGCTATTTTCGACATTAAAAATAGCTTTTTGTTAAAAATCGGGCAGCCTCTTTGTTAGGATAAAATTAGCATAAGCCGGAAGTGGCGGCAGCCTATATAACGGCGGAGAGGGAGCATTTTTCATTATTTTTCATCGAAATTCGGTCGAATTATGCAATGTGCAGGATATCATGGGCTCAGACGGGGCCAGGGTTGAAAAGTCGCGAAGCGGCTTTTCAACCCTGGTATATAAAAAAATAGTGTTTGTGTGTGTGTGTGTGTGTGTGTGTGTGTGCCACTTTGCATGCAACTTCCGTCAGGGTGTCCGGAGGATATCTCAAGAAGGGAAGGGTATTAGGCTACGTAGGATACGACATTAGGTGCGTAATTCCCACGAGATGAGTGCACGCGTATCAGATTTTACAAAATCCGTAGTTTTCGACATTAAAATTACGTTTTTGTTGTAAAACCGGGAACCCTCTTTGGTAGGAAACAATTAGCATCGGCCGGAAGTTGCGGTAGCCTATATAATGAGCGAGAGAGTGACTTTTTCATTTTTCTCATCGGAATGGTGAAACGTATGCAGAGTGAAGATTATTATCGGGGTTAGACGGGGCCAGGGTTGAAAAGTCGCGAAGCGGCTTTTCAACCCTGGTGGTAGTCAAAAATATGCATATTCTTCCAGGATCTTGATCGCAAAAAAAATCAAAGAACCCCCTTCTGCGCCCTTATATAGGCTTACCCCACTTCCGGCGCATGCAAATTGCCTCCTAAGAGGTTTCTCGATATCTTTACAAAAACTCAATTTTAATAGCGAAAACAGTAATTTATATATACTATTTTTTTATATATACAGGGTGTCCCAATAAAAAGGTCACGCTGGCATTTTGCTATTTCAAATCCGAACGACTTGAAATTTTGCACAGAGGTGCGGAAGGGAATTTAAGATGTTCACAGAAACTTTCAGCCCGATCGGTACAGTAGTTTTCGAGTTATTGTAAAAATACTGTTTTTCCCACAATTTAAGCTTCATTTTTTCGGCTATCTTTTTGGACTTTGCATCAATTAACATAAATTTCCGGCGCTAAATCCCTTATTCTTCTTAACATCGCCGTCGTTAGCCCTTGTTAAAAAATACTTAAAGTTAAAAAAATTTAAGTAAAAAAATAAATTATTGGGAGGACACCCTGTAGTAGGATACTACTACGCACCCCGCCCCACCGCCCCCTATATTGTTAAATATCGGCAAATTGTTATGACTTGATTGATTGCCGAGTGATTCTATAGAATTATCGTCGTCATTTGCAGGAATCGGAAAGAGCAATCGGATGGAAATGTAAAAATTGTACATCAATGTGGAATTTGGAATGGATGAATGGGATAATTGGAAGTGCTGGTCGACAAAACAAAGACGTTTACCTCTCCATCTGGCAACGAGACCGTCCGACAATATTCAAGCTGCTTGATGTTAGTTCATTCCATAACTTTCCATTTACCGGAATGGTTCTTTCGGGGGGAGGGGGGGGGCACTGTTTAACACAAGTCAAGACAAGTCTAATAAAAGATGCGGTCGCGCGACGTTGCCGTCGCATCTGGCTGTTTGCCAGGAATCAACGCAGAGGGTGTGGATCAGATTTCGTAACCCTATTACGCCGCCCTTTCCAAGTCCCCGAAGACATTTTTCAACCTTTGGACAGATTGTTCCAACCTCTTTTCGGCGGTAATTATAGACCAGTCGAAAAAGTCCGCTTCGCGGCCCTTTTCCACTGGACCCTGTCTAGGAACCATGAATTCCCTTTCTTTTTAATGAAACATGCGGCGCAAGAACCTGATTCAAGGAACCATTCTTTCGTCTGCCGAGCCAGCGTCGCGCTAGACTCTTTGAGCCTGCGGCGCCAGTTAACGGTTTTGCTGCGGCGCGAGAGAGCTTCGGCCAAGGACCTTTTCCTGAAAATGCCTCCAAAAATTCTTGAGGCAGTAGCACACGCACAAAAATGTAAATTTCTTCCGAAGCTGTATTATTGTTGGCAACGCTACCGGTGTATAGTTAATGATTAAAAAGTTGCTGAATGCCTTTAGAAAACAAAGAGGAACCTTCGGAAGAAAAAGCCAGAAATAAAAATCGTGAGCGGGTTCGAACCCTCGTTAGATTCCCGAGAGGCCGCCTACTATAACACTAGGCCACCAGACCACGGTGATGGGGGCACGGGGAGAGACTATGAAGGTTGGCCGAAAATTCGAAAAAACTTTAAACGATTTTACAATGATGATGTTACTATATCAGCAGCTGAAAGTTACATCAATCGATTCGACTCGTCGAGTTCTATCAGTGTGCAAATTTTCAATACGAAATTCGATGACCAGCTGAGACCATCTCCTGGTTAGACCACTAGGACAGGGCAGGGATGGGAAGGGGGAGGGGAGAGGGGCTATGAAGGGTCGCTGCGCCCCATCGCCAAGCCGCCAAATTCTCGCCGCTGACCAGGGTTCCAAAACCAGAGCGGAATGTACCTTTAAGGGTTTTTCACTTTATTGCTTGTAAAATCGCTAAATGAAGGGATTTCGAAAAACACAAAAATGTGTGTCTGGAAAATATGATTCTCCACCTCCATGCCAAAAATCAGCCCGAAATTCGGCCTGACGGTCGGGAAATCTTCGGTACAGAAAACACATATACTTTTCGCGCTTATATAGTGTGTGTGTGCCAAAAAAATAGGGCCACCTCTTCTTTTGCGATTATCTCGGCCTTCGTCAGTTTTGGAGCCAAGCCAAATGGTAGGTCTTGTAGCGCTTGACAAGGCGCATTTTTTCATGTACTTGAAATTCCGCTAAAATAGATGACATCATTTTTATAAGCGACAGAATGAAAAAGGGCAAAAAACAGAAGTGTCAAAAAGATAGGGTCACCCTTTGCATATCATGAACACCCACTTTGGGCTTGCAAATCACATTCTAATGAGCATTCAAAGTGAATTGTCCTTTCTGACTCCCGGGTTGTTAGAGTTATGGTGTATCTGCCTAGCCCAAAATTTCATATCACTCATTAACATGTAATTTGCAAGCCCAAAGTGGGTGTTCATGATATGCAAAGGGTGACCCTATCTTTTTGATACTTCTGTTTTTTGCCCTTTTTCATTCTGTCGCTTATAAAAATGATGTCACTATTTTAGCGGATTTCGAGCAACATGAAAATGCCTTGTCAACACGCTACAAGACCTACCATTTGGCTTGGCTCCAAAATTGACGAGTGCCGAGATAATCGCAGAAGAAGAGGTGGCCTTATCTTTTTGACACACGCTGTAGGATAGGATAAGCAGCTAACAATAAGAAGCCACCAACACGCTTTTCTGTCAAAATTTTTTCATGTTTTACCTGTGAGTGGATCCGACAACCTCTGTGAATTTTGCTTCAGTATAAGGGCTCGGCGAATCCGCTTTAGTAAAAAATGACTTTTTAGGAAAAGGCCAAAGTCGAAAAGCCAGGAGTTTTTGGGAATTATACCCATTTCAGCTTGCATTCTGTCCATCAAGAGTCCAGAAAAGAGGAATGTTGTACTGCATCAGATTAGAGGACGCACCGACTGACGAGCGTCAACCATTGAATGTCATTTGGCGCCCTTTTCTGGTGAGTATCTATGCTTTTTTGGGGGAGGTGGTAAGGTGCGTTTTAGAAAACAAGGTGACTGGGCTGGTAACCGGGGAGGAAAAGCTAATTGCTGTTTTTTCACGATGGCAAGGAAAGTCGTTCTTAGGTGCTTTGAGTTTCTGGACGAGACCTAGCTAGTTCGATAGAGAAAAAAAATTCTGAGCAATATCTCGTTTTCAAAAAGTGTTGATCGATAAAGGGGTTTTAGGAAATTTAATTTGACTAAAAATTTTCCCGGTAGCCGGAATTATTTTCTCTATCGACCTAGCCGGGTCCGGTCCCAAAACTCCGAAAGCACCTAAAAACGACTCCTTGTCAGGGTTGGTCATTTGGATACCCGTACCCCATACTAGAGTGGAGCTTATTCAAATCGGATTTGAATAAGATTTGAGTTATTCAAATCACGGGCGGGTTTTTAGCCCTCAAACACACTGATTCGCGAGGCTGCGCAACAGAAGTGACAACCTTTTAGGTCGCGTAATGCAACTGGTTACTCGATGTTTTGTTGAAGGAAAACTATTCAAAGTGTAACAAAATATATTGTTTGGATCATAAGTTTATTTTATAGACGATATTAATGTACAAACGTTCACAAGGGCCAATTGTATATGCCCAGGTTGACGCTTTACAAGCTAAATCCTTCCTTGCTTGTACGTATAAAATATATAAAAGTAATTTTGGAAAAATCAAGGCGCATCACACGTGGGTGATCAGGATTGACAGAGGAATTCTAAAATCAGTGATAAATTTTGACTTTGGGGTATCCGCTCAAGAAGCTCTCAGGCCACACTTCCAAGCGATACACGATGCAAGCCCTAGGGCTTCCTATGTTCTCCTAGGTTTAGAAAGCACAATCATGAGCGAACAAGGTTGTGCTGAGAAACTGGGAGGTTTTCAAAATATAGACCAAAACAATCCAAGACTAAAGCTGCTTCTTTCTTCCTTAGGCGAACTTTTTGTAAGCATAGTTTTAGCGGTGCTGTTACGCTATCCGACAGCAGCTGACAATTCTGAACAGCAGGACCATCTTGGTTCTGCTTCCACAGAGCATGCTTTGACTAATATGAACACTTTCTTCAGTGATCGTCGAGTCCGGAAAGATATCGGTCGAATTTTGCGCGAAGCATACATAGCCATGATTTTGGCCCACAATTGTTTCGGTTGATTGCACCCGTGTTGTCAAGCCGAAAAGCTAGAAGACTCGACGAAAAATATTTGATATTGTCTCCCTGGAGATGCTCTTTCAAAATTATTTGATTTTATACGTATAAGCGACGAAGGATTTAGCTTGTAAAGCGTCAACCTGGGCATATACAATGAGCCCTTGGGAACGTTTGTACATTAATATCGTCTATAAAATAAACTTATGATCAAAGCAATATATTTTGTTACACTTTGAATAGTTTTCCTTCAACAAAACATCGAGTAATCAGTTGCATTACGCGGCCTAAAAGGTTGTCACTTCTATTGCGCGCCCCCGCGAATCAGTGTGTTTGAGGGCTAAAAACCCGCCCGTATTCAAATCAAACCGATTTGATTTGAATCCGGGCAGCTTGTTCAAATCAAATCGATTTGAATTGGCGAAAGTCAACTCAAATCAAATCAAATCGGTTTGATTTGATTTGAGTTATTTGAACAAGATTTGAACAAGAACGAGCAAGTATTTTTTCTGGATTTATGCAAAATGTCAAATAATATTATTTAAATCTCGGATGCAAAGTGACATTTTGCCTTTCGCAACATCAGAAAGGGCGCCGACCGCATCGTTGAATCATTTTTGATCAATTCCAAACGCTAAAAGCCAGATCACAAACGTTTCTGACTGCCATTTTACCATTATTACGCGAATCCGCCATGCTAAAAGCCGAAACCGATGTGATTACCATCCGTTCCAAATTTCCATACTCGATTTGCCTATTGTTCAAATTGTTCAAATCAACTCAAATCGCAGCAGATTTGATTTGAACTGTCGTTTCTTATTCAAATCAAATCGATTTGATTTGAATAAGAAAATCTTATTCAAATCGGTCTTGTTCAAATCAAATCAGATTTGAGTTGGATTTGATTTGAATAAGCTCCACTCTACCCCATACCCCTACCGGTTTTTGGTACCCCGGGCTGTACCCGTACCCGTACCCTCGAAATTAGCATACGGCGGGTTGGTACGGGTACTACCGGGGTACTACCCGTATCCGTTCCCGCACATTTGCATGCCGAGTTCAGATACCTCTCTAGTAAGTCCCGAAAAACTGCGGGTATCTTCGGGACTTCGATTTTTCGAGAATCAGAGTTTTCGGGGCTCAGGTTTTCGGGGCTCCGAGTTTCGGGAAACCAATTTTCGGGAGTGTCATCGGAAATCCGAGCGAATACAGAAACACCCATTCCACCAGCGGATACATTCCAGCCCAAAACCCCCAACTAGGCTGGAGTTATGACCCGAACACCACGGCTCGTAGACCCTTTGTTAAGGATTTTCACTGCCTTGCTTGCGAATTCGTTAAATGAAAGAATTTCGAAAAACAAAAAAAAATGCGTTTGGCAACGGCGTGCCACAATTCAGTCCGAAATCCTGTCTAGCGGCCGAGACAAGGCTGCACACAAAAAAAAAAACAGGCATACTTTTCTCGGGTGCTTCCGTGTTAGCGGGGGAGCAAGGAATAATTTTATGCGAAGTCGTTTTACGAGTGAAGTATTAAATTTAAACGATTGCCAATAGCATTTTACAGTGATTTGTATTAACAAAAACACAAATACAGACACAAATGCTTTGAAAAAATTACAAAACTTGCGACATTTTGCGCCCAAAACGTATGCAAAATGACCAAATTGGTCAGAAACTTGGATACAAAATAAAATTATAAGATGTTCTGATAAAGTTTATAGTGTTTTGGTGAGCAGAAACTACGAAAGACCTTACTAAACTATATTTTAAAGGGGCTCAGAAGTCAAAATTCGTGCGTGCGGGGATTGAACCTACGGGTCAAAAAACGAAAGGATCACTGCCGAGAACTACCAGAAAAGTGATTTCGTTGCGAAAAAACGTAAAATGTTTGAGAAAAACCTAATTCTTTTTGGGGCGAAAACGACATTTTGAGGGGGCAGGGATTACATGTCGTAATGCGTTGTAAGGCACCCAATCTCTCGATATCGGTCATTCTCTGGTCAATTTTCATAATTTAAAAGTCTAGAATGATCAAAATTCGTTGAGGATTCTAAAAATGGTATCAGAATTTTTAAATTCAAGCGTTTTCGCGTCCAAACAGGGGCAGAAGAACATGCGGCGCGGTCGCGTTGCGGCCGCATCTGGCTATTTGCCAGGAATCACAGCAGGGGGCCGTGGACCAGATTTCGGAGCCCCTTTAAGCAATTACTATGCAGGCCTAGGCGTAACTAAAAACTCGCCTTGCTCCCCCGCTAACACGGAAGCACCCTTTTCTCGTTTTAAGGATAGGCTTTTTCAAACATCGTTGACCGAGAAGCCCAAATTTTCGACAGGGGAGGGGTGTAAGGAGGTGTTTGATACGTCATTAGATGCGTAATCGGCTGGAGATGACTGCACACATATCAGATTTTGTAAAATATGTTGTTTTCGACATTAAAATTACGTTTTTCGTATAAATTCGGCCACCCACTTTGTTAGGAGAAAATTAGCATACGCCGGAAGTTGCAGTAGCCTATATAAAGGCTCAAAGGGGGCGTTTTTCATTTTTTTGTCATCGGAATTGAGGCACAATTATGCAAATAAAGAATATCCTAGGATTAGACAGGGCCAGGGTTGAAAAGTCGCGAAGCGGCTTTTCAAACCCTGGTTTTTCACTAAATTGAACATCTAAAAACTACATAAAATGTCACCAAGATGATGTATATTTCGTTGTAGAGGCGTACGGGCGTACTTGGATACATTTGCTTCCCCCCTCGCTAACCCCCCCCCCCCCAGCTAAGAGTCCAGTACCGAAAACAATGTGATTAATACATATTTTATAGGAAGAGTTCCAACGACGAGTTGAGAATGTTTACAATGGAATATTCGTCTTTCTCGATAACAGGCATTATGCTGAATGTCGATGGTTGAGGGAGAAGGTCGAAATAAGGGTAATCTATGAAAAACCCTGGCCTCGTCAGAGCCGCTTGAAAATTGCGCATGGCAAATGGAACCCATCAGACCGTTAAAATTCGATTAAAAACAGCAAAAATACCGACAAATGGCGGAGGAAATCCGCTGGCCGAGTCAGTGAGTTTTGCATGAACATCCTAGAAACACTGGGTGTTCTACAGGGTGTATAAAAAACGCCCAAGTTTGTCCCTAATTATCTCGAGTAGGAAAGATATTTCACCGTGCGTTACCATGCCATAATACTTAAATAAATATGTCAGGAATAGGGAAATAACTCAATTTGATTTTTTTTCGATTTTTGGCGACGTATCAATACAATTGACACCCGAAGCTGTGCGTTCGGGGAAACTTCGTTTGCATTTTTCACAGTTTCGTGTGGTGGCTGGCTTCTAATTTTTACAATGAAGGTTAATCTAAGCAACAGATATGCACCTAAAAAATTTTAGATTGTTGAGGGTCTGGTTCACAAGTTATGCACCACTGAAATTTTGTATGGAGAAATTTCGTAAATTTCGTGTGGTGAAAATTTCAAGATAAGTGGTTTTAGAAGATTTACGTGCTTGACACAATCGCATAAAAATATTAAAAAAATTTTTTAAGATCTATTAGTTTTTGAGTTTTTCGAGTCTCCCCCTGGTTCTGCATTTTTTGGGGTCACGGCAAAGAACTCAGAAAAATATTTCTCAGTTTCAGATGGAACTCGCCTATTTCCTTTTTTTGGTTATGTAGGACTGGGGGTTTATCTATCATCTACAAGAATTCGAGCTACCGGGCTCCCCGAGACTTGCGCCGCGGATCGTATATTGATTTAAACTGTAGTGAATTTGGTATTACGCGCGAATTTTGTATGTAATTACTGTATTTTGCATTAAAACTTGACTGGAAGTGAGTAACGCCAATCCGGAGCGCTCCTAAAAGGCGTCAGGAAAGGTGGGCCGTCGCTTCGGATGGGCTGCCGCTCCACTCTTCTAAATCGGAGCGCCTGGGCGCTTCGCGCTCCTCGGGCGCCCCGATTTCGAAACCCTGTACGAGCTCGCCCCCATCCGAAGCGACCAGGCCCGTAGGAGGGGGGAGGGCAGGGGGGCAGGGGCCCAAGGGGCCCCCGAAATCGGTCGAGGTCCGAAAAATGCATAAGGGGGACCCTTATGATTTTTAGTTACAAAAATTTTTCTGCCTGCGGCGCTGTTTATTACTGTTTTTGAAACAGTTTTTACTTATATGAAGCCTATTTTTTCACATTTTTTTCGCCTAAGGCGCTGAGTTTTCATCGCCAAAATTTTTGCCCCCCCCCCCGAAATTTCGGTTCCGCTACGGGCCTGGAAGCGACTAGGCCCCGGGTGGCACGAAGCCTTTTTCTAGTCGCAGAGCGGAAGAAGTAGCAATTACCTTCCCTCCAAATCGAGTGACTCCTAGAGCTAAATCATCTTTCTATCGTTTCTTTGGCCAGAATCGGACGCCGCGCGAAAAATTGCATCTTCAAGGAGTTGAAATTCAGTTTCGCGGCGCAAGTGTAGCGACGCAAATGTCGCGGCGCAAGAGTGAGAGGAGAAGAATGAAAGGCAAAATAAAAAAAGCGTGACCGGATTCGTACCCTCGTCAGTATCCTATCAAGCGAGTCGCTTACCACTCGGCCATTCAACTGGTGATTCCACATTGATGGGAGAGCCGCATAAACCTATCAGTTCTGCTAATTTTTCGGATGTAAAAGATGTTTTTCCGGAAGTGCTGTATCTCTGTCCAGAAGTCTATTTAGGGAATTCCGACTAGAGCGTTGGAATCGCCGTCATCGAAAACCTAGGGGTAGCCGCGTGGGTTTTTCGAAACTGCACCGTGCCAACTTGAGGTCCCCTTGTAAGATGTAAAAGCTGCAAAATAGTGAAATTTGTATTGCTTGCAAAAAAGAACTAGAGCTTGAAAAATTCTAAGATTTGGCCATTACTTTTCTACAAATGTCCACTATTTTTAGGCCAAAAACCAGAATTTTCCCACCACCCATCCATGAAAGCACAATTTCCGGGCGTTACCAGCGTCAATAGTACAGTTGCGTACTAAAAAATCGAAAAACAAGTTGAGTTATTTCCCTATTCCTGACATATTTAAGCATTCTGGCATGGTAACGCACGGTGAAATATCTGTCCTACTCGAGATAATTGGGGACAAACTTGGGCACTTTTTTGATACACCCTGTAAAAAACGTGTCCGTTTTTGACGATATAAGTATCAATGGAAAGCTCTCCAAAGCCGACCAGATATTCGCCTCCCAACCGCGATATTTCGCCATCTGGCCCGATTTTTGACGTTCGGCTAGGATCACAATTAAATTTTAATTGCGATAATCTTCTTATTTTTTAATCAGAAAAAAAAAAACAAAATACCTTCAACCATCAAGATCGGACCGCGTTTCGACATGTAGGGACTGTATGTCATCGAATTCATACTTACGAGTAAAAGGGACTCGGAAATTCGGCCAGAATATTTGAGGCCGCATAATCATACAATTTTCAGACAGAACGTTATCCTGGCTTCTGGATATTCTTCCGACTGACGGCCCTGAATAAAGGTATTGTTGGCATTATTGGTTCTTTCGCTTACCGGGGGGTCAAAATTTTCTATACGTTTTTTTAAAAAAATGATTCACGTAAAAACTCTACAAACTTTTACTAAAGAAAACACAAAATATAGATGTTTCGATCAGAAATCCCCTTTCTACAAAAATTTTTGAATTGCTGTAGATGGCCGTTCTGGTTCAAATAGAGTTTTATTTTATTAAGAGCACCAATAAATTTACAGGCATTTTTGCCTTGTTACAACCCCTACCCCCCCCCCCCCGATAATACGAAAGAACCGCAGTCTTGAATGGCAACCATAATCATTTCTTACAGATTTCATTGGATGTTTATTGCTGGAACCGGGACTACCCGGCAATATCTGTCTTATCGATCGATGATAATCCTGTGATGTTTTTTTGAATAGTATTACTATTGCTATATGATTATGATTAATAAATATAGCCATTTATCACCCCCACTACAGGGTGTCCCAATAAAAAACACCACCACTCTAACCCGACGCCGAAGTATTGGATCGAAACGATAGATACATCATACAAAAGCCCTTCAAACGGCCACTTTGCAACAATCTTCAAAAAGATGCTTTTATTTCACACGTCATTTAATCCTACTATACACTCAGTAAGATAACTATACTACTATAACTATAACTACTTTTTCACTGAATTGAACATCTAAAAACTACATAAAATATCACCAAGATGATGTATATTTCGTTGTTGAGGCGGACGGGAATACTTCGACACATTTGCTTCCCACTCGCTAACCCCAATTTGACTCACTGTAAAGTGTTTTTACTCAAGTTGGAGTTTCGATTCGGGACCAAGCGCATCTTGTGCAGAATTTTTCGCTGTTTCCGAATCCGCTTTCCAAATTTGCTGCGGACTTTTATTTTGAAAGTTATACAGCAGTTCTGGTAGTGTTTTTCACCAAATCAAGGAACCGTTATCGTTTTCGATTTTCCTGATCATTTTCAACTTCAAAATTAGCTAGAGATTGGCTAGACAAGCATCTTAAAAGTCAAAACAAGCTTTTTTATAAAAAATTAAATTTTTTTATGCAAAAAGCAAAGGAAAGGTGCAGGGCGGGGATCCGAACCGCCGCCCTGCGCTTGGCAAGCGAGTACTTTGCCAATGCACCATGGTGCCAATCGGGAGGGGATCTGTGACAGAGTACTTCAGGCCCCCTGGGAGAGGCAGAACTTCAACTTTCACTTCAAGCTTAATTTCACCAAAAATGTCTTTTTATATAAAAGTCCGCAGCAAATTTGGAAAACGGATTCGGTATCAGCAAAAAATTCTGCACAAGACGCACTTGGTCCCGAATCGAAACTCCAACTTGAGTAAAAACACTTTACAGTAAGCGCCCGATTATGGACCCGAGAGCCCGGGTCGAAAATCGAATTTTTTAAAATGAAAAAATCACCGGAGTTTCGTGAATACAATTAAAGTACGGATCGAACTCTATGTATATGATAACAGAATTTTGGAAAGATCTGGTAGAAGTTCGTGATTAATTTTGGCTTAAAACCGGAAATGCTGTTTTTTGAAAACCTGGGTTCTGTGGGCTCTTCTAAAATCGTTTGCCATAGAAAAGTTTTTTCTTTGCATGGTTTTTAATTGAATAACCAAGCTTGGTTTATGCTAAAAATTTCACGCCTACTAGCGCATCGAGCATTTTTTTACATAGCCTCGAATTCGGGTATATTTGGGCTTTTGATGAATTTCTTTCGAGATAGCGTATCTCAAGAAGGGACGGGTATTAGGCAACGTATCTTACGTCATTAGGTGCGTAATGGCCTGTAGATGACTGCACACATATCAGATTCTTAAAAATTAGCCATTTTCGCTATTAAATTTAGGTTTTTGTAAAAATCCCTTTGTTAGGAATAATTAGCATAGACCGGAAGTGGGTGGTCGTCTATATAAAGAGGCAGAAACGGTTGTTTTCATTTTTTGTCTTCTGATTGGATGGAGGACAATTATGCAAAGGGCAGAATAGTATGGGGTCCGAGACGGGGCCAGGGTTGAAAAGTCGCGAAGCGGCTTTTCAACCCTGGTGGCTGATTAAATTCGTAAATATACTATTTGAATGCGCCAACCAGATCGTGTCAAACAAAAATGTGGCGAGAATTTTGGCGGCACAATTCAATTTTATAGAAAGGAAGTAAGGTTTGCAAAATAGCACGAACCAACCGTTTTGGGGGCCCTAAAAGGCGCCCTTCCGAGGGGTACGGTAGCTCAAATTCTTGTAGATCATAGATAGACCCCAGTCCTACATAACCAAGAAAAGTAATAGCCGAATTCCATCTGCAACTTTCGAAATATTTTTCTGAAGCTCGTTGCCGTGACCCCAAAAAAATCCAGAACCCGGGGGTCGTCAAAACTCAAAAATTCATAGATCTTAAAAAATTTTAAAATATTTTTATGCGATTGTGTCGAGCCCGTAGATTTTCTAAAACCACTTATCTTGACATTTCCACCACAGGTTTTTGTAATACACGAAATTCACCATACAAAATTTCGGTGGTGCATAACTTGTGAACCAGACCCTCAAAAAATCTAAATTTTTGTAGGTGCATATCTGTTGCATAGATGAACCTACATTGTAAAAAGTAGAAGCCAGCCACCACAGGAAACTGAGAAAAATGCAAATGAAGTTTCCCCGAACGCACAGTTTTCGGATGTCATTTGTATTGATACGTCGCCAAAAATCGAAAAAAAAATCAAATTGAGTTATTTCCCTATTCCTGACATATTTAAGCATTCTGGCATGGTAACGCATCGTGAAATATCTTTCCTTCTCGAGATAATTGGGGACAAACTTGGGCACTTTTTTTGATACACCCTGTACCTGTTTTTGGCCAAAATCTTAAGGGTTTTTGACTATTTTGCTTGTAAAATCGTTCAATGAAGGAATTACGCCAAACAAAAAGATGCATCACTGACAAATGTGTTTCTTCACCTCCATTCAAAAAATCAGCCAGAAATTCGGCCTGACGGCCGAGAAATCCTCATTACAGAAAACAAACATACTTTTCTCGCTTATAGGATAGGATGGTTGGAAATGGTCAATAAGATAGGCTATTCATTGATTACTGTTCTGTTCGTCTTCTTTCTAGCTCAATATCTCTTTTGCGTTGTTATTATGATCAAGAATATAGTATTCGTATTTCTTTTCGATAAATAGCTTGTAAAATACAATTTACATAATTCGTGAACAATATTGAGCATGACTGTTTTTTAGCATGAAGAACTGGCCTGTTTGTTGTGAGATTCAAATCAATGGGGGTGGTTATTCTAATCGATCGAAAGATATAATCTGGTGAGTGATAAATGTTGATATTTTGGAGGTGTAGATAAATGATGGAGGATGATTATCGATCGATTAGACTTATAGTGACGTGTGTTGCCGGGCCGAGTACCAAACACCCAATAAAATCTGGAAGAGATGATGGATTCCATTAAATAATGCCAACAATACCTTTATTAGGAACGGATAGTCGGAAGAATATCCAGCATCCTTCATCAAATGTTGTCTGAAAATTGTGCAATTATGCAGCCAGAACGGCGTGGAGATACGTAATCTCCATGTTTGAATTTCCACAGTCAAATGTTCGATTTCCAGGACTGTTGTGGTCATTATTTCCAAAATTCGCCATCTACATGGCTTCAGCGTGAACCCACTGTTTTTCTTGAAATCGCCAAAAAGCAAAAAAGATCAGGCCAGCGGCATCGACTCCCACCCTACGCTTACAAGACAGCCGACTCCGCAATGAGCCAACCAGGCAGACTGGCCTATTGGTCCTGGTGGCCTTACCCGCGCAACATTTTCGTCCAGATTTTCAGACCATTTTTCAGCTATAAAAAGCTCGCTGTGAGAAAACGGCGACCTGACCGCCACCTAAATGCAATGCATCAATCGATGCAGAAAAATTTTGCGCATCTTTCTAGCCTATTTCCAGCGTGCGGCCGAATCGCCGTTAATTTGAAATTCGGCAAAAACTGTTTTGAGTATGTAATTTAACTAGCTTCTGCCAATTTTCATGCTTCGCGATGTATTAGAAAAATGATCCCCATCCCAAATTAAACCTAGTCACAAAGTTTCAGCCAATTCTGTCAAGTAGTCGTCGTGATAAATTTTCGACGTTGGCAACTTTAACGCCTTGTTTAACCAGGAAAATGTTAATTTAAAAATCCCAAATTAGTGCCATTCCTCTAATTCGACCACGCTCTATCAGATGGCATCAAAAAATGGGGGTCGAAACAAACTGTGCCAAGCTATAATGGGGACTGTTCGCGAGACTCGCGGACGTCTTTTAAACATTTTTGAAAAAGTAGAAATTTTTGAAGAGGAAAATAATGGAACTTTTGATGAGTTAGCTGGGCTTCAAGGCAATCAAGATGAAGCTCTCAGAATGCGCTATCAGACGCGTCGTAAAGAATATCGATCGGTCTAACTAGCCGGCAATAGGAGCCTTCGGAAAATCCCGACTTTTTGAGGAAATAATTCCAGATAAAATTCCTTTGCCATCAAAAATTTTAAAATCGCGATCAAAAATTTTTTTGGCAACTTGCCAGTTCGACGGAATTTGTCACTTTTACGCTCCTTTAGTTAAAATTATAACATGGTTATCTTTGGAAAACAGGATTGCATGTAACAAGTAGAAAATATTTGGGCAGCAAGGTGCTTTCTATGGTCAACTCGGAATACACTACCCAAGTATCGATTACCGCTTTTTCGACGTGCTCTCTTAGCCAGCGAGTATCATCAAATGATTGATCAAGAAAGACGAAGATTCCATTCTCAACATTCTCCACTCGTCTTTTGAATTCTCGCTAAATATTGATTTCCGGGAAAAGCAATGAGGCTCACGAGGAAAAGGTGGGCAATAAACGGATGCTGTTGCTGAGCCTCTTCAGTTGGTTGTTTAATTAAACTGATGCTGTATAGCATTCCTCTTTTCTGCATTCTTGATGGACAGAATGCAAGCTGAAATGGGTATGGGTAATCTTCCGTACAAAACATACTCAACGGGGAGGGGGGAGTGGTGTTTAAAGGGCGTTAGACGAATTGGCTAATAGCTAACAGAGCAAGGGGCGCGTCCAGGGGAGAGGCGCAGAGACATTTTATTTCCCGCGCGTAATCGATTGACGGCTCTATTCTATTCGTAGCCGGGATCTGTACGGAATCGGAGTTTTCGCGCAATCGGGGATTTTCGCCAGAGATTTTCGACGGAATCGGGGAATTAAAAAAATGGGCGACCTTGCCGACCTTTCAGGATGTTCAACAGCTATTTTTTTTTCCTTGTTAAGAAGCAAAAAAAATTCAGCGGCGCAAAATTGAGGGGTCAGCCTGAATTTTTAGCCTGCCGCGCTAGCTTCAGCGGCTAGCTTCGTTTCTAAAGACTGCGGCGCAAGCTTGTGATGGTAGCTTTATTCTCAAGCTTGTGCGGCTAAATGTATTCTAAAACCTGCGGTGCCAGCGTCAGGGATCAGGTCAGGTCGTATTTCCTTGGAGGGGGTGCGGGGCCGCACGGGGTAGTACTTTCCAGCTTACCAGTCCAGACGTTTGAAGCGCCTGTTTTTTTAGTTGGTTTTTTCTTCCGGGGGCTGCGGTATATGGATAGTTATGAAATGAACTAACATCAATCAGCTTGAATATTGTGGGATGGTCCCGTTGACGAGTGGTGAGGCAAACGTATTTGTTTTGTCGACCAGCACTTCCAATTATCCCATTCATCCATTCCAAATTCCACATTGATGTACAACTTTTACATTTCCATCCGATTGCTCTTTCCGATTTCTGCAAATGACGACGATAATTCTATAGAACCAGCCGATTACAGCCGCTTCGCGACTGTAATCGGCTGGCCTTCGGGCTACCCTCCATGTTCTACGCCACCACATTACATCTCTATCTTCACCAAAACCCACACCAATCGCTTCAGACACCCCTATAGCCACCCCTGCAAAAAATTAGCTACTCCTTGAAAAACTACTTAAAACCACTTAAATACCTCCCTGATGGCTTTAGATACCTCCCATAGCCGAAAACCCCGTCAAAAACTACCTAAATACCTTCCTGATGGTTTCAGATACCCCCATGGCTGAAATCTTCTTCAAAAACTACCTAAATACTTTTCCGATGGCTTCAGATACCCCACATGGCTGAAATCCCCTTCAAAACTACCTAAATACCTCCCTGATGGCTTTAGATACCTCCCATAGCCGAAAACCCCGTCAAAAACGACCTAAATACCTCCCTGATGGTTTCAGTTACCTCCCATAGCCGAAAACCCCGTCAAAAACGACCTAAATACCTCCCTGATGGTTTCAGTTACCTCCCATAGCCGAAAACCCCGTCAAAAACTACATCGATACCTTCCCGATGGCTTCAGATACCCGCATGGCTGAAATCCCCTTCAAAAACTACCTAAATACCTTCTTGATGGCTTCAGATACCTCCCCTAGCCGAAATCCCCTTAAAAACAAAAATAACGACCGACCGGATGGAATGAGAGAAAAAAAGAAATGAAATCCCCGTGAAAATTTTGATCCACGAAACGCGCGCGACCTGGCTCACTATGTCCAAAATCACCCCAACCTCCGCCCCCACCCCTTTTACTAAGGAAAAAACTTTCAAAGTTAATTTTAATATTTTAAACTAAAACTTTTTCATAATTTTTTATCAGTTTAGGGGTTTCTGACCACGCTCTATCCGAATCCGAAGAGAGCTAAGCTCTAGCTCCTTTCCCCTTCGAGTTGAATCCGGGACATGACGGGCAGACGGACAGACAGACACCCCTACCTTTTTATTATAGTTGATCATTCGGCAATCAAGTCATAACAATTTGCCGATATTTAACAATATCGCGGGGGACAGTCCGAACTTTTCTAATCGAGGTAGAAGCACAGGGTAGACAAAAAAACTCTTTCGAATGAGCCATAATACGTACCATTTTCAAATAATTCATCAAAAAACATTTTTTTTTTAATTCACGGGCGAGGCCTGTCGAGGTCATCAAAGAGATTTCCGCGAAATCATCGTAAATGTTTTGTGTCATAGCTCATTCGAAAGAGCTTTTACTGCTGAACAAGATACACTAATGGATTGTGGGAAATCTCCATTATCCGGGCCCTTACAGGCCCTTCATAACTTTTTTTCTCCGTTTCGTTTAGCAGATTCTGATTACAAATTTGAAATCCCCGTGTTTGACTCTATCAGATCCACTATGTCACGTTTCGATTTTCCGTGGGCCGGTCATGCACTTCCCTTGTTAGCAAAGATTCATATGCAATAACCAGCGCCCAAAACCCGCTTCGCGGGCCTTGGGCGCTGGAATGCGGCCTTTGCATGAGAAATTTGACTTTCCGATAGCTTGGGTCCTTCGGACCCTTCCCTTCCTCCGACCACACATGCGCGTGCAACTTGCAAGAATGAGGAAATTTGTATTTTTTTGGAATTATGCAAAGTAGCCCTCCCTCATGCCCTTCCTTGTTAGTAAAGATTCATATGCAATAATATATGCCATATCCCGGTGATCCTGTGAATTTTCGACAATTTCGACAATTTTCGAAAAAATTTTTAATTGCGTTCTTTCCATTTTTTTGTGGAACGGTGGCAGTTGACAAAGATTGCTAATTGCAAAATATCAGCAAAATCCGATAGCAAGAAGATTTTATCTAGAATTTTTCGGCGAAAAACTGCCGATTTTCCGAAGTGTCCTACTGACGGCTAATTAAACCAATCGACATTCTTTACCACTCGTTTGATAGCTGACTCCGAGAGCTTCATTTTCGTACCCTTTCGTTCCATATTTGCTCGCTTCAAAGTTGTTACTTTTCAAAAATCTTCAAAAAACAAAAACGATAGTTTGCACAGTGGATAGTTTTTCGTAAAAAAGGCTGACTTTTGAGCAATTCGGATCTTTAGGATTGTTGATGATCGAAAAAAAGCGACAAATTCACAAAGAGAATCGTAGAATCGTACGTACCATTCTGCATCTTCGACAACGCACTACTTCACTCAGACCGTCAAACTGAATGATTTTTATACCGGAAATGAAAATTTGACATACGCAGCGGACTTTCAACCGATCGACAGCACATCGGATATTTGCCTGGATTCTTTGGAGATACGAATGCGTGGCCTCCGCAATATACATATCATTGATGGCAACCATTGAACGGATGATCCGGGTAATCTGTCAAGTATCGGATTGGAAGGTATTAGGTCGTCAAGAAGTCTTGTCGGTATTTGCTTCAACCTGATTTTCCGAAAAGCTTCCAAGGGTACGAAACTAGTTGAGTATACCATTTGAAAGAGTATCGAAAGCGCTATCGAACTGTAAACGCATCATACTTTGTAGTGTTTCCTAGCGGATCTTAAAAGGCGCGAATGACCATGTTTTCTGGTTTTTGCCAAAACTTGAACGAGAAGCGTCGGAAAGGGCTCGGTGTATCAGCGTTCGATTGCACCCAAAAAACACAAATGAACTTCTAAAGGAAGTGGGAACACGGGCTGAGCCATAGAAGCAATGAGGCCCCAAAGTTCTGAATTTTCGCGCATCTATTCTAAAGCCCGGAAAGTATCCAAAAGACACAAATGCAATTTTGCTAAAATTTAAGCAAATTTCGGCAGCCCGAAACGGCTTGATCTACAGAGTCGAGCCCGTTTCTCCGAAATCAGTTGATCTAGGAAGTCCAAATGTTGCAGCGGGTTCCCTCACTATGTATAACCTGCTCTATGCAGAGACAACTTGCAACACTTTCTCGTGATTTTGCGAAAGCTTCTCGCGGTACTCGGCGGGTACTGGTACCGAACATCGGTACCGGCGACCGGTACCGGTAATTTGTTGGTACCGACAGGTACTGTACTTTTTCGGTACCGGTACTCGGCGGGTAGCGCCGGCTTGGTACTTTTTTGCGATACCGTTACCAAACCTACCGGCAACGGTACTGCGGACCGGTACTGGAGGGGGGCACAGGGGGCCCGGGTTGCTTCCTGGCAGTGGGCCAGACGCGTTGCGTGTCGCCGCTGCGTAACTTTTTTACAAAATAAATGATATTCCTCCCTTTATTTATACAGGGATTTGTATTGCTAGCTGTTCTAAATAAATTCTGCTCTTACCTTCATTTATATAGGGTTTAATTCGAAACGAAATACCGGCGGGGGCTTCCCTGTCGCCGCGGCGACACGCCACCGGTCGGTTTGGTACCGGTACCGGAAAAAGTACCGATCGGTCGGTACTCACTCGGTACCGGTACCGAAAAAGTACCGACCCTCTCGGTACATGCTTGATACCGGTACCGGAGATCCGGTAGCGGTAAAAACGGCGTCGGTAAAAAATGGCTGTCGGTACCGGTACTGGGTTTCGGTACCGGTAAGAAACCAACACTATCCAGGACCAGGGACGTAGCGTAATACAGGCCCCGGGCCCCCTTACGGCCATTTGTAGAGCTATGCAACCTTTTTTTTTCAAAAATTTTTGCCTGCGGCGCTGTTTTTTCGGCAATGTTTTGAGCTTTTTGGGAAAATTTTTTGGGGGCCCCCCGAAATTTTTTTTCTGGCTACGCCCCAATCCAGGACCCTCCTCCGAAAAGGGTTCTGGCCGAGACCTACAAAAAAAACATATCGCATGTGCCGAATGGAGCTTTCTGCGATTTGAACCAGCCTTCAAAAATCAGGACTGACCTTCCAACCCGCTAATAGTTCTTTTCTCCACGGTGTCCCAAAAAAAACCACCCTATCTAGCGAGCCGCAGTCGTGTCCGATTTTTACGATTTAGGTATCTATCGAAAGCTCTCGAACGGACGAGAAAACAAGCGGGCCTCTTTGTCTAATATTTAATGTTTCTCTACAAAACGGTGATTTTTCAAAACGAATTTCGCAATTAGCATGCAGATCTTGCATAAATCAGCAGTTTTCGTGGTTTTTGGACGTAAAATTCGCGAATAAAAATGTAAACGAAATAAAATAAACCCTCGTTGTTTTCTCGCCATTTGGAGGGCTTTCAATAGATAGCTAAATCGTAACAATCGGACTCGATTGCGGACCGCTAGGTAACTCGAAGGTAAGTGGCGGGGGGTAACTCAAATGCATAGTACGTTATCTTAATATTATCTAATATAACTCGATCATATTTGAGCGTCAAATCCACTTAAAAACGAAAAAAGTGATTCGCAACGACTGAGATCTTGGGCGAAAATCGGCGATTTTCGATCGAAAAATCGGACTTTTGAGTTTTTCTGTCGAAATTTGAAAGTCTTGACGCCCAGAAATCGTCAAAGCGAGTCGCCTTTGCTGGATTCCTATTAGCAAAATGGCTTCAAAGAAAAAAGTTGGTCGCCCCGATGGAAACCAAAAGTTTAGAAAACAACTAGGCACAGTCTCGAATCCTTGCATAATCAGATATTGGTGATGGTGGAAATACGCAGACTCAAAACAACTTACATCTGCTTCTGCTGTCTGCCCGCGATATCGAATCCATGATGGGTCTGTCGCCTAAAAAAGAACCGGATAACTCGAGAAGTATCTGAAGTCATCGTCGATCTTGGCACCAGACGAGCCAAACATTAAAGAAACGACCAGGGCCGAGCACAGGCCTGGCGCGCGGCAGGCGATCACACAACCAATGTCCGAACAGGCCGATGGGATCGGGTCAGGACAGGCCCTCTTCCCCCCGCAAAACCGCCCCTGGGTTCGCTCCAGATGGTCCCCGGGAAAAGGCATACTGTACGCGTTTTTGAAGCAATAGCAACAAGTTTCCAGCTGTCCAGGCCTGCTTTCGCAATTGCGCGTCGCGTCTATCGCACGCGTTGCGGTCTCTATTGGTTTCCAATTCTAACGGACGTTTTATTAAGAGCCGGGCCGCTGTTCCAGTGGCCCTATCCCCGCATTAGGAAACAGACTCTCCCTGCTATAGCGAGGACCGATTTTTAAAGCTGGGAGGTGAATGTTTCTTTAAAGGGCTGCCGACGGCATGTGTCGATTCCCCCGCCAACAAATTGGCAAGTAGCCAACAGGGCAGAGAGCGCACCCTAGGGAGAGGCGCAGAGACGTTTTCTTTCCAGCGCGTAACCGATTGGCTATTGGTCGGCATCCCTTTAACGAGATAAGAACGGCATACAGGGTGGGTCAAAAAATGGTTCCGGAGTTTGTTCGCAAATATCTCGAGAAGGAAAGATATTTCACCATGCGCTACCTTGCCAGAATCCTTAAATGAGCCCGGAATCGAGCACAAGATCGCGCCGCTGGCTTTAGAACGAAGCTAGCCGCGCAAGCTAGCCCCGCAGGCTAAAGAATCAAGCTAGCAGCTGAAATTTGCGCCGCCGGGGCTAAAGGACCGGGTTAGATGTTCAATTTGGCGCCGCCAAGCTAACCGCTGAAATTAGTGGCGCAGGCTAAAGATTCAGGCTGATCCCTGAGCTAGCGCGGCAGACTTTAGAATGGATTTAGCGGCAAAAAACCTAGCGCCGCAGGCTAAAGAATAAAGCTAACGTTACAATCTAGCGCCGCAGGCTTAAAGACAGAGCTATCCGCTCAAGCTTGTGCCGCAGGCTAAGAAATGGCGTCGAAGCTCAAGCTTGCGCCGCAGGCTTTCGAAAGAAGCTAGCCTCAAAGCTTGCGCCGCAGGCTTAAAAACGACTAATACCGAATAGACCGAAGAAATGACTTGATTAGGGTGTTGTTTTGCCAAGGGGCCCAATTCATAACGCCTAGACGGGGTCGAGCGGGCGAGAGTCGCGCTGGTGTCTCTATGAAAAGTTATTTGAGCTCAAAGTTCGGAGCAATTTTTCTGGACACTCTGGACACTTACCAAACCATCGAAATTGATGAGAAATGATTTGACGGAGGGGGAAGCGGCTGTCAAATGGTCGACGAATCCTTTGAAAAATACATTGGGATCCCGAATTCGATGGGTTTCTTGTAGTTCCTCCTCCTTGTACTGAAATGTCTCGAATGGTTGGTCTGCTATTAGATTGCAAGGTCAGTTGAGTGGCCGAGGTTTCGAAAGGAGGCTATACACGTCGATATCTCCATTCGACACCAGTTCGACTATTATAATCTATGAGAGTGCAGCTACAATAAGTTAAATAACATCGAGCTATCGACCGCCACAGAACTTACCGAAAAACCTGATATTTCGGCTGGGACTAGTCTGCAAATATCAACATCTCGAGCGTAATTGGTGATGCGTAATGTCCAATCATGTCTGCCCATAATATCCATAAAAACATATCGGAACCGAAGCTGAAATCGAATTCTGGGGCTATGCTTTACTTTACTCTTCCCGAATTTATATTATGTATTCACCAGCGCCCAAAACCCGCTTCGCGGGTATTTATTCATATACTTGCGGTATTTAAATTAGACTGATAATTTTTCGGGTGCTCATGTAAACCAAAATGACCGCCTTTTGTAGCGCTATTTAGTACCTTACCTTTTCTTTCCTTTGCATTTACGTTTCCGCAAAAAGCGTTGAATGGCAGAAAGAGACCTGGTTATTGGATGAATTCCCTTCATCATCATCATCATCATCAGCATCAGCAGCAGCAGCAGCAGCAGCAGCATCATCATCATCGTAGAAGCCTGTCTTGGCCCGTAAATGTATGTACGTTAGCTGCTTTGGCAGTAACCATCGACGATTCACCTCCGCCCTGCAATCAAACAAAGTACCGGTAAGAGTTTATCCTACTTTGTTTTACTTTTACTTCTACGAGTTTACTTAGTTTTACCCCGTCCGGTAGATCCCAAAAAATTTTTTAAGGTCACCAGTTGGTAGCTCCAGCCCTATCGACTGCCGTTAAAGGTACACTAAAGCCTCGTTGGCTTGGTTACCGGCCGGTAACCGTCCGCGGAATAGCAAACAGGGTTACGGTAGGTGCTCGCCGCAGAGCAAAACCGAACCCGCGCCACTCGCCTAGGGCGAGCGCTTTAGACCACTAGGCCATGGACAGACGGGAGAGGAGAGGGAAGGGTATAAGAAGGATCCGGACGTTGCGCGGCAGAGGGCCTGGATTTCCGACCGCGAACTGACTTTTTGCAGGAGATTTTAGTGTACCTTTAAAGGGCTGCCGACGACATGTGTCGATCCCCCCTCATCAATAAATTGGCAAGTATCCAACAGGGCAGAGAGCGCACCCTAGGGGGAGGCGCAGAGACATTTTCTGTGCAGCGCGTAACCGATTGACTATGCCCTCGGCATCCCTTTCAGACATTTTGTAAAAAAGGTCGAAAATGTCGGAAACTAGCTTTGCCTCTCCCCCGTTCCTATCGGGAATCCGCTTTTAAATATTCTTTTTGCTGTACTTGCTGTATTTTATACTACAACGGGCCGGGCCTGAACGTTTTTTCGTGACAAAAAAGTTCAAAATGACAAACGTACGACTCTAACAAAAACACCAAGTAAAAGAGGCTCTTTCCAAGGAATTATCAAACGCAACCTTCCCGATAAATTTGTTGAACACTTTGATCCCGAACAGCTTCTTAAATTTACAATTTTACGACACGCTCCTACTTGCGCAGCCGTGCCCGGAAGGTATCTCAATAGGAAATACTTTTTAAGACAAGTATGACCAGTGGAAAAAGACCGTTTCGCGGCCCTTTTTCACTCGAACCCGTCTAGGAACGATAAATTCCCTTACTTTTTAATGAAGCATGCGGCGCAAGAGCCTGACTCAAGGACCCATTCTCTGGCCTGCGGCGCCAGAGCCAGTATTCCGCTATAATCTTTGAGCCTGCGGCGCTAGCTACTGATTTTTCTCCCCATTAAGCATACGACGCTAGCGCGCGGGGCCAACCCTAAATCTCGCTGACGGAGAGCCTAGAAATATTTTTTTGTTGCTAAACTACCAAAAAGCAAAAAGATGTATTTGTCGGAGATCCGAACCCCCGACCGCCAGCTCCGAAGGCCGAGCTCGCATCCACTACACCACAGCCTAGATCGGAAAGGATCAGGGGGGAGGCTTTTTCATATCCTGGGGAGCGGACTTAGCAGGGCTAAAGGGAATAGGCCACTCCACAAAATGGCTATTTGAGCTGGAAAATGAACGAATTTCTTAAATCTAATAAGCTGCGCATAATAAGCACCATCGATTACATAAGTGTTCCAAATTCTAGCCCGTAATTCCATCTGCGGTTCGAGATATGGCTCGGACACCCCGGCTCTTCTTCCATTTTGTTAAAGGGGCTCAGAAGTCAAAATTCGTGCGTGCGGGGATTGGACCCATCGGTCAAAAAAGGAAAGGGTCACTGCCGAGAAGTGCTAAAAAAGTGATTTGATTGCGAAAAAACGTAAAATGGTTGAGAAAAACCGAATTCTTCTTCGGGCGAAACCGACTTTTTGAGTGGGCGGCGATTACATGTCGTAATGCGTTGTAAGGCACCCGATCTCTCGATATCGGTCATTCTCTGGTCAATTTTCATAATTTAAAAGTCTGGAATGCTCAAAATTCGTTGAAGATTCCAAAAATAGTTTCAGAATTTTTAAATTTAAGCGTTTTCGCGTTCAAACAGACGCAAAAGATCATGCGGCGCGGTCGCGTTGCGGCCGCATTTGGCTATTTGCCAGGAATCACAGCAGGGGGGCCGTGGACCAGATTTCGGAGCCCCTTTAAGGACCTTTTAGAAAAATGGTGATAAAAACTTTATTTTAACGAATTTGAAAAATTCCCAAAACTATTATCAGGAGAATTGCAGTTGCCGCCTAACCCCGAAAAAATGAGGACCTAATTCGTCCTGGGTCGCGAGATATCTTCTGGTGCAAACTCGCGGTTTCACGGGCTTTCGCATGGTGTAAATTACATTCCGATCCGAAACTTCTGCGTCGAGTTAAAGGGGGGTATTTGTTATTGGGATACCCTGTATTTAACTGCGCTTTTTTATCGCGGAAGGAAAAGGAAACCCTGTGAGAGGGACCAATTTTTGGGAGGAGAGAGAGAGAGAGAGAGAGAGACATCGAGAATGAGGGGGAAATCATCTACATTTTTCCGTCTAGACCTCCACATAATATGCTGTATTTTTATAGTGCTTTAGTATTTTTTATGGCTATGGAAGTCAAGCAAAGCACTTCAAAAAAGTTTTGGCCTTTTTTGGCCATTTTTCATAGATTTTTTACCAAAAAGTAACGTGTCTGCGGAAGAGCGCCTCAAAATTTCCGATCGCTTTGCCACCCCCTTCCCCCGCGCCCCATTGATTGGAAAAACGGTAAAGAAATAACGGGGGTGGAAACCATTTTTCCCCGATAGAGAGCTGTCGACGGATAGAGCGTCGAAAATTATACTTAGAGATTTAAATTCAGCCCGAAATACCAAAATTTAAAATTATGACTTGATTAAGCTAAAAAGTTTAATCAAGTAAAAATCGTTAAAAATGAGGTTTTTTCGACTCAGAGTAAATCTCTTAGTCTAATTTTCGACGCTCTATCAGATGGGGTTTTCAAAATAGCAGGATATTCTTTATAGACACAAAAATTGTTTGGACCTCCGTTATTTGCCCCCCCCGTTAAGTAACCTTTACCGGAAGGACCAGTAATACCTGAGTTTCCTGTTGACGCGCTGTAATAGGAGTAATTGTTGGATAGCTAATTGATCTATGACGATAGGGAGGATCTGAGGGGGAAGATGTCGAATTGGGAATCGAGACAGAAGACTTCTTGGTGTTCTCGTTGATCTTGTTGTTGATATCTTTTCCAAAGTTCTTGTTGTTCTTGTTCTTCCAAAGATCCAGCCATAAAACTGGTTGAAAAGTCTAGAGAACAGAGAGATCATCCACCCCCAGATATCCTCCTCTTCTTCTCCTTGTTCAGGCATTTCTAAAATGGTTTACATTATTTCCAACTATTTTTTTATAACGACACTTGTTAAGAAATTGATTTTATGCATTAAATTTAGGCTAAAGTCTGGTTGACCCCCCCGCCAGCCGAAGCATTTCAGCCGTTCGTCCCGTTAACGCGTGCAGTATCTCAAAATGTTCGCCATGGTTGAATTACTATAAAAAAGTTGTTTTCTTACACCAAAAATTGGTAGAAAATTTTTTGTAACAATTATAAGTCTGGGCTTTCTTTAGTTAATTTTTGCTGTTCCAAAGTGAGTTGTCGTATCTCGGCTATAGTGAGACCTACAGAGCTGTCAATGGTACCAAAATGTAGCTCTTTCTCTGGAGAATCAGCCTACAGTGCATTTGAGTCGGAAAAATAGCGGAAAATAAAAATATTGGAGTTTTATGGCAGTTTTATGGCAAAATAAGATTTTTTTTATGGCAGCTCAATAATATATTGTAATATTGTAATAATAATTGTAATTGTAATAATAATTGTAATTGTACTAATATTGTTGTTAACAAAAACATTGTTTGTTGTTAAGAAAAACCAGACATGGCAACGGGCCCGGCCGCGGGGCTTTTTCGGCCCCAAAAATTTGCATGCGGCCGGGCCGACGGGGCTCGGCCCCACTTCCGGCGGGGCCGGGGCTCGGCTTTGCTCGACGGCCCCGGGATAAGCCAAAATGGGGGCCGAGCCCGGGGCCGCAAGGCCGCACGCTAATCAGAAATCCCGGTTGTAAATCACCTTCAGTCAAAATATTCATGCAAATTGGAAAAATGATTTTTTCAAAGGTTGCCATACATCTCCATGTCTATTGCAGCCAGATCATAACGGGTTCAGACCTGTATTTTAGTACTTTTTGATAGTTGGGACGAATTATTAACCAAGTTCAATGAATTTTACCGATACCGATGTCCTAACAGCCCGAACGCACATAAAATTTTCATTGCAAATTTGCATATTAGCATCCGAATTTAGACGCAAATCAGCTACTTTAGTTTCCGGGGCCGAGCCGAATCGGCCGAGCCCGGCCCCGGAAAAATTCGGCCGGGCCCGGGCTCGGCCCCGCGAATTTGCATATTTTTCCGGGGCCCGGAAGCGGGTGTTTTTTCATGTTAATTAGATTCCAGGCCCGGCCCCGGGGCTCGGCCGCCCGGAATTGCCATGTCTGAGAAAAACTGAAAAAAAGAAAAATTATTGCAAAAACAAAAAGAACCTCTAAAAATGTGGTTAAAAAGCTAGTTTTCGATATTTTTTGTTATTTTTTTGACATTTTCGATACGCCTTCGATAGAGCATGAAAAAATATACTAAGAGTTTTCATTACAACCCAAAATAATGTAAAATAAAATATTTATGTCAAAAACAAGCAAAATTCGAATAACCGCTCGAACACTATTTTAATTGTATAAATTGTATTGGGGGTAAACCAGACTTTAGCCTAAATTTAAGATTAATAAATCGGAAACCGAAGGACGGCTTTTCAGATCTTCAGAGTTCAGATCTAAAATTAATATTTGGAGTAATTAGGAATCAGAACCTTTGACGAGTTGTTCTTTTGAATTGGCGCGCAGAATAGGGGCTCAAATGGCCTCCGTATTTGATTTGGCGGTCTCGGGTCATTGATGCTAATTAACCGACACAGAGGCCTGTCGTCGCTGATCTGGGCGTTCGGCTACAAACTACAAACGCCCCGAAAATGGATAGGAGGACAATTTTAAAGCCTGTTAACTTTGTAATGACATTGTAGATGCAATTAGCTATCACATAGCACTAAAAATAGCCTTAGAGACCGTAAGAACAAGCGGCTGAAAATTTTTTGAGGAAAAATCATAAGCCTAATGCATAAGGCTTATCAGAAGATGCGCAATTATCCGTAGAACATCTTAATCTAATTGGTTTTTATTTTCGAGCTAAATTGTCATTTACAGCAAAATTGGGGGATTTTTCCGTTTCGAGTGTACGAATTACACCGTCCGTGGACACTTCAGCGCGCATAGGAGCGCTGCGTACCGATTTTCCTAGCCGTGCCTTGTGGTTGGGGAATGGAATTGCGTGTACGAGAAACAATCCCGTGATGAACTTTTTGAGCGCCGGTCGATATCGGTGGGGGCGGGCCTCCGGGCCTGTACAGCGTGTCCCAAAAAACAGCACCCCCCTCTAGCGACGCGCAATCGTGTCCGATTTCCACCGACTTGGGATCTATCGAACCTTCGAAAATCGAAAATCGAAAAAGGGATCGAAAATCGAATCGAAAAAGGGGATCTAGGAAAAAATCGAACCAACGAATCTAAAAGGCAACCTTCCAAAGGGGTACGGTAGCTAGAAACTTGAATGAAAAGGAATATTCAACAACGCCTCCTTGTAAGCTTTGCTTTGCGCCATTGGGGGCCAGCCAACTTCAATAGCACCGAACAAGTTAGGCCCCATCAAGAAACTCGAAAAGCACCTCAAAGCGACTAGGTGTAAGCTACCGTAACCATAGAATTATATTTGAAACTAGGCCCTTTCAATATAATTCCAAACGTTTACGACCTAAAAATAAGCGCAACCGCTCAGAATGCAAAATTTTCCGCAACCGTACCCAGACGATTCTAAACTTCTAACTCTCTAAACTATCGTAATTGCCTCCAAGAATTTACAAAACTTTCTAAAAATAGCTGCTAAAAATCAACCAGTAAAATCGGATATTTCTAAAATTAAATTCAACTAATTCAGAGGGTGTTAACAATTTATACAGTACAGTACATTACATAGGCCGACAGATATCGGATCGACTGGTCAGCGGGGAAATTCGAAACTTGTGAAAAATGTGGTAAAGCATCGCGGGGGGAATGTGTATGGGATACGGTAAGATTAGGCAGTAGTTGAAAGGCAACACGAGAGAGACAATTGGGGGAATTGAGGAGAGAGGGGCTAGAGAAAAAGTGAAAGGGGAGATCGGCAAACAGAAAAAATCATCAGAAAAGGGGAATTTACAAAATTAGGGGCAAATAATAGACACATCTTACAAAACACACAACGCTTCTTGTCGTCTAGAGATCGGGCTTGTATTGGACGGCCGTCTGCACGTTGTGGATCGCCGTCGAGAACGATCGCAGTTGCACCTGCAAAAAAAGAGCAATTAAAAAAATCGGTATTGAATTTTAAAGTTTTCATCAAAACTTAAATTTAATATCGAAAATAGGTGATTTTGGGTACTTCCAGGTTATTCGGGGGGTGCGTTGTGAACTTTTTCTGTATGATCTTGTGTAGGCCGACTAGTAAAAGTTTAACGTTTTTGCAGACTTGTAAGCCGTTTCAAGTGGTTTTTGACTCTTAGCGGGGAGGAGAATTTTAGAAAAACATCAGATATATGCTGAAATTTTTTGCTTTTCCGGTCTAACGTATATGAAAATGGTTAAAAACGAACGATGCCCCTAGATTTTGTGAGGGTAGGATAAAAGTTTTTGTAATTTTTGGTTATCGGAAACTACGAAAACATGATTAAGATAAACTACAGTTCATTATTAAGCAGGACAGTCTAAACAAAGAAAACTTGTCAACCGCCCCCGCTAAAAAAACTGTTAAACTGGCACACAGACAAACACTATTTTTTATATATGGTAGGATTAAAAACATAATAATTCAAAATTTCATCCGCTTCACGCTATCCCTAGAAAAAACGCGTAAATTTCAAGAAATCGAACACTCACTTGAATTCGGGCATACACGAGCCGAGCACTCGCTGCGCCTCGGCATACTCCTTCAGCGAATAGTTGTTGTTACGCGTGTCCGGCATCGCGCATATCTGGAAAAGGTGATTTTTTGCTAGCAAAATTCAAAATTTGGATAAAAAGAAAGAAAGAACAGCGAATGTTCTTCTCGCTCAATCAAAACTACAAATGAGCAAAAATACAGCCGATAGAAACTAAGGAAAACGTAAAAACGCAATATTTTGTTGGAAATTCGAAAATTTGGATAACAAGGAAGGAAAGCAACGATAGAGTTTTTGCGCTGAAAAAACTCGATAAATTAGGCAAAAAATACCTTCGTTATTTACGGAATTAGACGGGTTTCCTTCATTTTTTTCACTGGATTGCTTGAAAAACTAAGGCGGCGGAAAAACTAGCTTCACAAGCGGTTTTCTAGCTTCTATTGCTAGCTAAGGTTCTCTTTTCAACCTTACCAAGGGCGCCTTGGCTTCTTTCCCGGGCTAAAAGCGCGAGACAACCTTCACAAAAGTTTCTTTAAATCCTCTTGCTAGCTAAATTCTCCACAACAACTTTAGAAACGTTCCCAGCTGCTCGGGTAGCCTAAAATCTTTAGATATTTAGACTAGAAATTTTTTCTTTAGATCCTCTTGCCTTAGAAAACCGAGGAAAACTTTATGTTGACGTTGCGTTGAAGCCTCCTCTGCTTACTCTAGAAACGATTTCCCAGTTCTTCAAGATTGCTAAAATATGTATAAAACCGCCAAAACGTTCTTTTGGATTGCCTTGTTAGCCAAAACCCCCACAAACAGAGCAGATACACCCCCTTCTCCGCGTAACCGATTGACCGAGCCCCCCTTGCTAGCTACAAGCTCTATAAAAACCCTTCTCAAACGTTTCTTTGGTTTATCCTGCTAGCCAAAAGGCCACAAAAGCTTCACGCACGTTGTTCTAACCTCTCTTGCTACCTAAAATATCTATAAAAGCCTTACAAACATTTCCTTAGGTTCTTGCTAGTTACAAAAGGCCAAAAAAACGGCGTTTGAGCTTCGCGTGTTATCTGAAAGATCAATAAAACCTTCACAAACTATTTCCCTAAAATATCTATAAAACCGTACAAACGTTTCCTTAGATTGTCTTGCCAGCTAGAAGCCCAGAAAAAAGCGTTACCAACGGCGTTTTAGCCGCTTCAGCTAGCTGAAAGCTCTAGAAAAACTCTAGAAACGATTTCCCAGCCGTGCTAAATGCGCCATAAAAACCTCCACAAACGTTTTGGATTCTTTCGCTAGTTGCCAGCCCACAAAAGCTTCAGAAACAGCGTTCAAGCCTCGCTTGCTACCTAAAATCGCTATAAAAACCTACAAGCATTCCTTTAGATTATTGCTAGTTAGAAAAGTCCAAGAAAACGTTACCAACGGCGTTTTAGCCTCTTTTGCTAGCTGAAAGCTTTAGAAAAACCTTTGGAACGATTTCTCAGCTGCTCGCGTTAGCTAAATGAGCTATAAAAACTCTAAAAATGTTTCTTTAGATTCCCTTGCTAGCTAAAAGCTCTAGAAAATCTCTACAAACAATTTTGCAGCTCCTCGTGCTCGCCAAAATATTTAAAAAAAAAACAAAAAAAATCCCCAAGCCCGTGCTTGCTAAAATCTCTATAACAAAAACTTTACAAACGGCGTTGATCTCTTCTATCCAAAAGGTCTAAACGCGCTCTCACTTTCTCACCTCCTAGTGCAGCTAAAAGTGATAATTTCTCCAGGATGTCAATAAAATTAAAGCTCTCGTTTTTCCAAGAACCCTGTGGTGTTGAAACCATAATCCTCCGCCAATTCCAAAAACTAACTAGCTAAACGCTCGTAACTCTGATACGTGCCAGCTTCTCGTCCAGCCAAAAAGGTGGTGCTCCATAAAGTCAGTTAGTTGCTAATAAAATTAAATCTCTCGTTTTAGAAACCCTTGGGGAAAACAATCCTCTGCCAATTCCACCAAACTAACTAGCTAAACGCTCTATAAAAACTCTGGAAACGATTTGCCAGCTTCTCGTTCTAGCTAAAAGCGATAAATTGCCCCATAAAGTCAGTTAGTTGCCCATAAAATTCAAGCTCTCGTTTTTCCAAGAAACCATTGGTGTTGAAACCATCATCCTCGGCCACTTCCAAACAATTCCACCGGTGGGTTGCCTTTTTATTTCAACGGGCCATTATGCCGGCGCGCCCGTTCACATTTTGCATGTCGAAATTCGTACACAGAAAGATGGAGAATCAGGCAAAGAGAGCGCGGGAGGAGAAGACAATGTCATAGTCAGTCAGTCATACAGGGGAAAGCGAACGGGATAAACAGACAGACAAACACACCAACAGACAAATCACAAGCGGAGGAGGTGGTGGAGATGATGAGCGCGAGAAGCGGAAGAAGATCAAGCCGGGGAAGGAGGGCATCATCAGCTAGTAAATATACAGTCATCATCAATCAAATAAATAACGCCGTTGAGCGCCGGCAGCAGTGTGGACATACCGGACAATCTGAAAACACCCAAAAAACAATCGCGTTGCCCAGTTTTTTTTATTAGACCGAAAATGAGGCGACCGACAATACTAGATTTGGGGCATTCAGAAAGCTGGGGGTTATACTAGAGACCACAGAAGAGATCAACTAGGGGAAAGATGGGCCACCAAATGAATAGACAATCAACACATGGATACAGAACAGCGAGAGAGATCATCAACACGGCGAATCGAATAGGCGAGCACGCGGCCGGAAACGAGTAGTCGAGGGCGGGGCGATGGGCGTCGACACGGGCCCCAGGATGCTCTTGTCCATCGGCGGCGTCTCGGTCAGCCTGAAAACCGGGGTTCTTTTGGTAAAACGTAAAAAACTCGGCAAAGATTAAAAAAATAAAAACTAATTATCGGGAGAATGTATTTTGAAACCTGACCTTCCAGAAAAACAATTTTAAAAAGACAAAACAGCGATTTTCGATAAAATATGGCCGTTTTTGACGAAAATTTCGAATTCATAAAAGTTTTTAGAAAGTTTTCTAGAGAAATACGGTTGTATGAACTAAAAAGTGCCCTTTTATAAAAATGAAAGCGAAATTCCGGATAAAAATAACTCTCAAAAACATGATTTTAGCAAAACTGTCCGGAAAACTTAATTTCGAAAACCCAACTTCCAGAAGAATTATTTTCGGAAAAACGATGCAAAATATTTCTTTTTTCGGGATTAGGCGGCCCAAAGGAATCTCTAAAGCTTTAAAAAAATCAAAAGCCTTCCTCACCTAGCCATCTCGATCCTCGAATCCATCGTGCCGCAAAAGTTGCGCGGGGCCGTCGACTGGCTCAACAGGTCCTGCCACTCCTTTTGCGGCTTCTTCAGCAGCACCGTCACCACCTCGACGTGTAGCCGTACCGTGTCCTGGGCGCCGATCAGCTCCGCCCCGCTCGGCATGTACTTCATGATCGACGGGGCCACGCAACGGGCAATGTTCTCGACGGGCATTTTGTTCACCTCGGAGCACGCGCCTGAAAAAGGGAAATTTTTGAACGTCTTCTTTAGCGTTTAAAATAAATTTAATTTTAAATAAATAAACTTTCAGTTGGAAAAAAAATCGTATTTTTAGGCTAAAAACAATTTTCAAAAATTTATGCTTTTTTAATTCACGTATCAAAAAATGACGGAATTCCGGTGCAAAAACCTTGCCAAACCCTTTTTAGCGGGCTAAAAAATCCAAAAAAACGTACCGACGCGCTGCCAATGGAGGCAGAGATAGGCCAGCGTGTCGCGATGCGGCTGCGGCAACCCCTTGATGTACTTGTTGAGGAGGTCGTCGTCCTTCTTCTGTACGGCGTCCACGAATTCGGCGATCGACGTGCGCGGGATCAGCGAGTCGTTCAGGTTGCGCAGGAAACCCTTGATCGTGTCGGCGATCACCTCCGGGTCGTGCATGTCCATCTTGGGGATGGCGCGTGTGGAGATGAGCTCATTGAGGAGACGCTTGCTGAGACCTTGGAGGGCAGGGATACGGTAGAGACCCTCGTGGGAGAGGCAGCCCCGTCGCTCGAGTGCCACGACGCAGTGGATGATCGGGTAGGGGATCATTGGAGAGGTGGCCGGGCAATAGTCGGTCAGCACGATGCCTAAAAAATTACAAAATATACTCGAAACAAAGCGGAAACGCGCAAAGACAGTGAGACAAAACGCTACCTTGTCCCTTATTTCTTGTCGGCGTCTTCGGCGTGCGCGGGACACAGGGGATCGGAAGACGAGCCTTGCACGACGAGTGGCACAGCTGATGACAATCTTGACATTTGAACGAAGCCCGTCCGCCAAAATGAATGGCCCCGTTGCAGACGTCGCACGACTTGACGCGCACGTAGGCGCTGAACGGCACGAAGGTGTGCGGGCGCTCGGCGATCGGGCGGCCTCCGGTCCAGGCTGGGCCCACGGCACGGCGAATGTCCGTGCTGCTTGAGGCCATCGTCGGTGTCAGCACCTGAAAAAGAAGAAGATGGATCTTTTGCAGTATCGCGGGTTTTACGTCACTTTTTACTATTCCTCTAGACGCAAAAACTTTACAAATTTCGCTTCAAAAACACCGAAAATGCAGGGTTGTCGCCAAAAATTCGTTTTTTTTACCGATTACGACTAAGATTCCAAATTTTTTGATCTTTTCTCTTGAAAAAGGCTTTTTACCTTTTTAAAATTCGGCACATCCCGGAGCAGATCGTCGGCGCTGTAGCTGCGGTTGAGGCTGACGCGATGCTTGACGCTGGTCGTCGCACGAGCAGCTACCGGTGGCGGGTGAGCGGCTTGGAGGAATGATCGTTTCTTGGGCAGCTCTCCTTCCGGGCGTTCCTCCAGGGCTGCCGTCGACTTGCTGTGGCTCCTCTTTCCGGGCCGCGTGTATGCCGAGCGTGAGCGGCGCCTCTCAACGTCAGAACCGGCCAGGGCCCCGGATCGACGGTAGCCGCGTGTCGTCGTCCTGGTAGTCTGAAAAAAAGAATAATTAAGGAACTTTGGAAGAACGGCAAGATTTGGGCCGATCGGCCAGTTTGAAAACGCGTTTTCGGTGTTTATCGCGCTAAACTGTTAGCAAAGAGTGACCAAATCTCCTATAACGACATACAAATCCTTTTCACAGGATTTTTAGAGTTAAAAGCCCTAAAAACCTCAAATTTTTTCAATTTTTGGTCGGACATGCATGAAAATCATCAAAAAAAGCTCAACATCCCCCCCCCCCGCTAACACTGCAGTACTGCCTCAATTTTTCGGGTTTCTCTTTGCAAAATACCAGAGACTTCAATTCCAAACTTTCTGACTAAAAAACAAAAGGTTTTGGCTACAAAACCCGTTTTGAAAATCCGCGTCACGTTTTTAGCTCGCGTAGGCGACCTTTTGCCCACAGTTTTGTATTTTAGGTTCGTTTTGGCAGCTTTTCTGGAATAAACGCCTGAAATTCGAACTAAAAGACTTGATTTCAAACCCAAAAAGCGCAGAAACGAAGATACCTGCATGTGCTCAATGACATCTTCGTCGTCATCGGATCCGCGCGTGTAGTCGAGACTGCCCTCCGAGCGGCCGCCATTCAGCGAGTCCTCGGAGCTGTGGTCGGTGAGCGGGTTCTTCTTCAGCCGCTTGCTGTGTGTGCGCTGGATTTGGCGGTCGTCGTTGAGGAAGGCGAGCTGTTGCCGATCCGTCGACGACAGCTCGGGCAGCTGTTTGCGCACGATGCCCTGAAAAAAACATTTTAAAAGATTAAACCTGTAAACAGTTCGGAAAATCCCAAAATTTCAGGCCAAAAAGTTGGGCGGTTGTGTCTTTACTAGCCTAAGCGTAGAAACATTGCTGATCTTTCTAAAAAACGCCACCCTAACGCCGGATGGAACAAAACGAAACGAAAAACGAAAACTTTCCAACGAAAAAAACACAAACAACTTCTAAACCCCCAACTTTTTAGCATTTTTGGGCCTAAAACTTTGGGATTTTGCGAACTTTTCTTCGCAGCTTGAATCGCGCATTTTCAAGTCTTTTGCCAAGTTTTCCAAATCGTTCTCCACCTCGAATAGAGCAACTTTTACAAAAAAGGAAACCCATTGAAATCCTTGCTCTTAAATTACTAAAAATCTCGTGATTCTCAAGCACAATTCGGCTTCCTTGATTTTGCGAAAACGCCCGTCAAAACAGTGCAAAAGTGCAGATTTTCTCGGAGTTTTAAGCCAGAAAAACGAGTAAACACTTCAACGGCCTTTTTTTTGGCCTAAATTTGCAAAAGCGGGAATCATTAGGGCCACTAGACGGTGATTTCAGGCGGTAGATGAAAACTGGCGCGAAGACACACCTGGACGAGCTTGAATTTCGCCTCCAGGTCCTTCAGGTCCAACTTGAGCGCGTTGCTCTCCGAAAGCTGCGCAGCGAGTTGCGCGCGGGCATCCTTCAGTTCCGCTTCAAGCTTCCGAATCCTCTCGTCCTTGGCGAAGGCGGCATCCTCGTGCTGTCGGCATTTGTCGTCCAAATCGTTGGCGAGCTGGTCGGCGTGCTTCCACTTTTGTTGATACCGCTCGACGACGCCGAGCAGGTGGACGGCATCGTATTCGAATTGATTGGCGAATAGTTGATTCTTGTATTGGTTGAAGCTGTAGAGGTCGCCGAGCGCCTCGCGCGTCATGTCGCTGCACACCGACGAGTCCATCGACTGAAAAATGGGCTTTAGAAGGCTGTTCGATCAAAATGAGGACAGAGAACGTGAGAAAGCAAGAAAAAAGAAGGGCATAGCTTTCTGCAAGCATTTCTAAGGGTTGAAATGAAGCTGGCGGCGACTGGAAAGCTAGCAATAGCTGAAAAAGCTTATAAAAAAACAGAAAAAGCAACTGATCACCCCTTCAAAACTATAGGAAAAGTGGAAACTAGCTTTTCAACAAACACTCGAATCCTATAACTCTTTTCTAAGCTATTTTCTTTTGAAACTGCATATAACCCGTGCAAAAAAGCACCAGGGGAACAAAATCAGTTTTCAGCATTCAAATGAGCATGGAAAAAGCACTGAATGAAATGAAGCTTCGCGGGAACGATGCCTAGAATGAAATTTGAGCAGTTTTCGTTGGAAATACGCTTAGCCGACCTAAAAAAAGTTCTAGACGATGCGCTAGGCGCTGGAACGCCGATTTTAAACGAACCAACGAACAAAGCGGAAACCCTAGGACCAATTTTAAAACAATTTCATACGAAATACGTATTGTTCTTACGAAGAAGCTCAAAAACAGTTATACAGCGCTAGAACAACACAGAAACAAGAACTAATAAAAACTAAATGAGACTCTACCGACAGAAAATGATCTTTTTTAATTATAGTAAAAGTTTATATTATTATTATAATATTTTTAATTATAGTAAAAACTCGTATTCTCCGCAACCGTACCCAGACAATCCCTTTCTAAACTACCGTAATTGCCTCCATGAATGTGCAAAACTTTCTAAAAATAGCTGCTAAAAATCAACCAGTAAAATCGGATATTTCCAAATCAAATTAAACCAATTCTGGGTGTGCTAAAATTTATGCAGTACAGTACATTACATAGGCAGAGACAGATATCGGATCGACTGGTCAGCGGGGAAATTCGAAACTTGTGAAAAATGTGGTCAAGCATCGCGGAGGGAAGGTGGATGGGATACGGTGAGATTCGGCATTATTTGAAGGGCAACGCGAGAGAGACAATTTGCGGAAATGAGGAAAGGGGAGATCCTGCACACAACAATCATCAGAAACGGCGGGGTGGGGGGAAGAGAATTTACAAAATTAGGGGCAGACAATAGACACATCTTACAAAACACACAACGCTTCTTGTCGTCTAGAGATCGGGCTTGTATTGGACGGCCGTCTGCACGTTGTGGATCGCCGTCGAGAACGATCGCAGTTACGACTACAAAAGTAATTAAAAAATCGGTATTGAATTTTAAATTTAATAAAAATCTAGCAATTCAAAATTTTGCCCTCTAAAGGGAAAATGGGGGCGGAATAGGTCCCTCGACAACAACAGACGGCTGGGGGGACCGAACTTTTTTCGGGCCACGCCTAGATTTTTTATATAAATAGTGGAAGTGTTTCTAAATTGTTTTTAACTATTCCTAAGCATACAAACTTTACAAAATTTAATTAAAAAAATTTAATTTTAGGTCGCAAAATCAATTTTTCGACCAAAAAATGATCAAATTTTCGACTTTTTCATGAGTTTTTCTAACTTTTTAAAAAGTTTTTCCGATTAAAATAGGCGTAAATTTTGCTAAAAACAATGTGAAAACGCTTTAGATTGGATTACCACCCCCACCAGGGCCGACAGGAAAAATTTCGGTTCCGCCCCGGCGAATTCTCCCCCCGGGAATACACAAGAACCCAATTTTATGATAAAAATCGCTTACATGTTCGGCGTTCTTGACCTCTTGCTCTGCCCCGAGCGCACCAAGCGTGTCGTCGAACATGATGACTGAGCACGCCTGCTCCAGCAACGGCAGGAAGCTCACCGACGCCGTGATTTGCCTGCAAAAGGGTGTTGAAATCAAAAATACCAAATTTTTAAAATTCCTTAGGCAAATCCGAATCCAAAAGTCTCACTTGATGATTTGGCTGAGCCCATGATACACATCTTTCTCTTCGGCGACGTCATCAGTCTCGATGTCGAACTGCCAGCGCTCGAGCACGTCCCTCGTGCGATCCTCTTGGATGACGAGCACCAGCTTCTTGGGCCCCTCTGTGCTCAGCGACTCTAAAAGTAAATTTGCATGGATGGAATGAATCGAGTTGAACCCTGGGTTGGAGAGAGGCTCAAGGTCTTCGAGTAGTGTCGGGTCGGCGGCGAGGTAGAGCGGCAGGTTGTACTTCGTCTCCCTCTTGAACGAGTCGGCCGAGTAGATGCCGCGCTGGTACAGGATGCTGTTGATGCCGTAATCTGAAAAGAAAGGGAGTTAAAAAGCGCAAAAACATAGAAAAATGTTGCTACATTGATTTTATTATTTCTACCCTTAAAAAACCCCAAATTTTTGGGAAAAATACAAAAATGTAGATTTTTACAACAAAAATCCAAATTTGAGGTCTAACTTGCAAGTTTTCTCGTGTAAAATCAAGTCACAGTTTCAAAAATACACCATCAATACCGGGTGCTATTTATTATGTATACCTGTGAACTTGCGGGACTCGATAATGCCAAATACCAACATTTTTAGAAACCAGACATGACCAAAAAACCAAATTAGCATAAAACTCACTAAAGAATTCTAGGACCCGCGTCGCCGAGCCCTTCAGTGAGATCGTCGGGAACCATTCATCGGACGGGCGGATTTGAAGACGCGGCTGAAAAATTGGATCAGAACGTTTGCTAGAAAAACAACATGGTACTGGACTCTTAGCGGCGGGGACCAATTTTCGGATAACTGATACAAAACCATTATTTTAGCGTTCTAAGATGTTTTTAGATATAGACGCACACAAAAAATTCTAAAATTGCGAAATTTTTCCCGTTTTAGTCAAACCTGCACCAGAACTGACGAAAAACGGTCAGAAATTTCGATTCCAAAACGTTTTAACAGTTTTCATGGTTTTCTGGCAATCGAAAACTACTCAGAAACAAAGTTTGCCATGAATAATGCTGGCGGAGCCACTATCAATCCATTTTTGTTAAAAATTCATTTGTTCCCGGAGTATTATTTATTTCAAATGTTTTAGATAAAAAAATAACTAACCTGCTCGCCGTGATCGGTGATCACGATGCCGCTAAGCGGCCAGCCGCTGACGGAGAGGACGACGTTAAATGAGCAGCTTGGCAAGAGCGGCAAAAATGATGCTGTCGCGGTGATTTGCCTGCAAAAAATAATTTTAAATGATTAAAAAGCAACTCATAAATAAAATCCGAATAAAATCTGAACCCACCTAATGACGTCGCTCATCTCCTTCTTGATTCGTTGCACATCCTTCTTCGGCGTCGAGGTGCCCACAGTCTGGATGTCGAACTGCCAGCGCTCGAGCACGTCCTCCGTGCCTTCATCTTGGATGACGAGCACCACCTTCTTCAACAGCTTCTTTGCCAGGAAATCTGGAAAAAAATAGAAATCATATAATGTAAGCAAGCCATCAACGTACCTTCGACCTGCTTGAAGAGCCGATCCAGGAACTCGAGTAGTTTCGGGTCGGCGGTGACAAAGAGGGGCAGGTTGTACTTCTTCTCCGGAATGAATGTGCCGCGCCAGATGGCTCGCCGGCAGATTATCAGGGTTAGGGTGGACCCTGAAAAGAAAATCTCTGATCCGGTTCAAAATTGGGAAAGGAAAAATAAGGATGTAAAAATCAGCACATAATCCAGCAATTATACTGTTTTTGGCAAAGAAAAGGAAAAAACAAAACTCACGAAGAAATTCTGGAATAGCGGCAGGCTTGCAATGAAGGCACATCTGGAATTGGGCAAGGCGTTTTTCACTTCTTTCACATTATCAGGGGGGGGGGGGCTAGCGTCTTTTTATTAGCTTCCGATTTTTCTAATTTGAACAAGGGGTGTTTTTAAACATTTTGCCACTCTTGCTAAACGTGAAAACGACAAAATCTTTGATTAACAAAACAACCAAAAAAGTTATTGACCAAAATCTTCAGATTTGAACAGTCTTCAGATAGCTGTTCTAATTGAAACCTAATTAAATTTTACTCAAAAACCCCATTGAAACACCTAACAATATTCGATTCCCCCCTCCCCGACCCATAATGCGAAAAAACCCCCAACTAACCATTTTCCATTGGACGCATTCCGGGTGAGCGACCATTCCGCAACTGCTGCATCGGGTCGGCGCAGCAGCATCTAAAGAAAGTAAGAAAAAGGGTGAAAAAAAATTACCAGTGCGCTCTCTGCAGACTTCACACTCAGGAGCACGAGAGAAGGGCTCACACTACAAAAGGTAAGATGATATTTTGATGGCCTTGCCTATCGTTTCCCGAAGAACATATAAAAATCGTAAATTTCGGTCCTTTTGCATTATCGGGGGGGGGGGCAAAATTTCTAATCTAATCTAGAAATGCCAGTAACTAAATAGAAAGTATTTTAATAAGGTTTTCAGCAAAACAAAACCGGGTTGCAGCTAGAAAAAAACTCCAAAAAACCTTAAAAATTTTTTGCAAAAAGTCGAAATTTGGTAAAAAACGGCAATTTTTCGTTGAAAAAGCTATATTTATTAGTAACTTTACTGCAGATTTATAAAGTTTTTACGTTCCGGGATAGTAAAACACTGCGGCTATTTATAAATGAAAAATTAGATCTTAGGAAAAAATTTTGGTCCCACCCCGATAATGCCAAAGAACTTAGACGCCTTTTCAAGATCAAGGATTTTTGCTCTCCATGCGACCCAATTACCTGGTAGATCTCCAATCCGTCGATGGGAGCGGGCCGCTTCAACCATTTCCAGATTTGGTGGCTGTAGAGGACGGCGAGCACCGCGCTCAAAAAGACGCCGAGTCCAATGACCAGGATTTGCGCGTAGAGGGGCAGTAGCGAGTAGAGAAAGTCGATGGCTTTGTTCACAACGTAGCTGACCCAGGTGCCGCTGGCGAGCTGTGTGCCCGTCAAAAGCGCCGGTCTGAAAAAGCCCGTCCATTTGGCAGCAATAATGACAACTGGTACTACATTTTGTCGAAAGATCATTTTTCGAAATTTAATTTTGGTGAAATACCAATTTGTCGAAATTTCACTTCGCAAAATGTTTGAGATGAATAATCGAGGCAAAATGGCGTTGAAATTTCGACAAAATGAAAAGAAGTCAAACAAACTAACAATTCGGACCAGTCGCGGGCTTCCGTGGGCGCAAGCAATATGACGAATACGAGTAGGGCTAGTTGGAGATGAGCTGCTCCTGGCGCTCGCACACTAAAATAAAATAACCATAGAAAACCATCGAAATCAACCCTGAAGGCGCTTTCGCATTAGCGGGGGGTAAATTTTTGTATAACTCCAAAAACGACTAGTAATCATTATTACCTTTTTGGTAAAATGTAACTATATTTCAGATTCAAAACATTATCAAAACCTAAGAAACGTAGTTAAAAATTTTCGTCGAAAATTGATATTTTTGGAATTTATCAGCAAAATCCTTATTTTTACGCATTTGAATAGGAAAAAATACAGCCTTTTGATAATGTTAAATTAAATGGATGTTAAAGGAAAAGTTACGCCCCCCCACCCCCGATAATGCCAAAGTACCGTAGAGAAAAACGTACTCGAGTCGACTTGACAGATCCGTCAGCAACAGGTTCGTGCTTGAGGGCTGCCCGTCGATGTGGGAGGAGGGTGTGCGAGAGGTTGAAACCTGCAAAAAAAGAGTATTTTTATAGTGTTTCAAGTCAAATATAGCTGTATTACAAACTAGAAAAACTATCTAAGCCTTTAAAAAAATCTTGTCGAAATTTTCGCCAAAATCGGTCATTTTTGGTATAAAATCGACATCTTTTGGTATTTTTTTCATACAGATTTGTATAGTTTTTACGGTTAGGAAATAAAAATAATATCTATAATATTAGTATAAAAACTTCCGCAATTTATGAGAGGAATTTTATCCTAAGGAAAATTTGTCCCCCCCCCCGATAATGCAAAAGAGAGAATAAATTCTAATTAAAGCCAAAGCCACGCTGATTTTATCAATCACTAGTAAATTCTGTCTTAGACTTAGATTTATACCTACCGCCTGACGGGGCATTACGACATGTAATCCACGTACGCGCAAAAATTCTAACGTATATTCTTTCGCCAAATAAAGTTGTCTGCACTGTCCGATTTTTCCAAAATAGGTTCAATTCCCAGAAAACCAAATTTTGACTTCTTGGCTCCTTTAAAAGTGTACCTGTAGAAGTGTGCCCCCTACTGCCTTGGAAACCCCTCCCCCCCTCCCCCGATAATACCATAGAACCATAATTTCTAAAGGTTACTAAGATCTCGAGTTTTTATATAATTTCGCAATTTTTAAAACAAATGACCACGAAAATTTACAAGCACAGCAGCTATATAAAAGCATTGCGAAAAGAAAGCCGTTCTAATCAGGTTGATCAAAGGGGCGCCGCAGTGCGAAATTAGTTTCTAAAGGTTTCCAAGGGCAAATAATCAGTTTTGAAATAAATCTTGCTATTTTGCGATAAAGCATATTTAAAAGCAAGCCCGAACTCAATTAATTCATAGGGTTAATTACGAATTTGATCGAAAGATATAGAATTTGAGAAGTTTCGAACAGTGTCCCGCCCCCTTTAAAGGGACCGGCAAGCCAGAATATTGATTTTAGCGATGGATTCCAATGGATTTTCCGCACTCGCGACACGGCAAAATGGACAAAATCAATAGCTCTGCCTTGCCAGGCCCTTTAAAAATCGAAAAATGCGTACCATCTCCATCTCGGCGGTGGGCGAGTGGCGTCCCTGTTGGGGAATGGCTGACGATTCTCGTTCCATATCCCGTGACGTATCCTTGTGTATCACCTAAAATTATTAAGACTCGAAAGTCTGGATTGTTACCTTATTGAGCGCATCGGCCAACCCGTTGAGTGTGACAAGCTGCACACTGCTGCTACTCGGCTGCTGCTCCACTTCTTGCTGTTGTTGATGCTCATCGTCGGCTTCACTAAAAAAAATAGGATAACCATAGAAAACCATCGAAATATAGCCATAGCAATCACACGAGAAGGTGCTTTGGCATTATCGGGGGGGGGTGAATTTTTTGTACAATTCCAAAAATCCTCAGTAGCGTAATATAAGTTTGATAAAATTTAAATATATTTCAAGCGCAAAACCAATCAAAACTTTCAAAAAATTTCAAATTTTCAAAACTGATCAAAAAAACCGAGATTTTTGGAATAGTGGATTACCGACAAAAATTGCCCACCCCGATAACGTTACAGAACCGTAGAGAAAAACGTACGCTTGATTGAGGCACAATTCGTTGACTCGACTCGACCGATCCGTCAGCAACAGATTCGTGCTCGATGGCTGCCCGTCGATATGGGAGGAGTGCGTGTGAGAGGTTGAAGCCTGCAAAAAAGAGATAAATCACGACTTGAAGGGATTGGCAACTCGGAAATGGCGGACTATTTTTTTGGTAATTTTCTAATACAAATTTCAAGGTTTAAAAATGTTTTAATAAAAAAATAAAAAATAATTGTATAGTTAGGAGTCGGAAAAAACAGTTTAGAATCACTTCCACTATTTAGATCAACAATTTGATTCTAAGAAAAATTTTGCGCCTCCCCCCCCCCCGTTAATGCAAAAGAGACAGAATAAATTCTAAATAAAGCTAAACGCTTCTAACGAACGCTGTTTTTTATCGATCACTAGTAAAATCGCGAAGAAGATTTGTAATGGCTTACGCAAGGTAATGCCAGGCTGCGCGTTACGTAAAAAATCGTCAAAATCCATATCAGCCGTCCCCTGCCGCCTGAGCCATTTTCCCCGTATTGGCAAGCGAGCAGAAGCCATTTGCGGAATTTCAATAATTCGGGTTTTTAGCATCCTTTTCTGTCATTTTCGGAAATCCCAGGCTAGCTAGCAGAGATTATTGGGAGGATTGGTGATTTCTCAGCGATTTTCAGCGTATTGGCAATGAGCTAAGCTAGCAAAGGGCAAGCCAGCAGAGAATATTTTAGGCCTACTAGCAGGTTCGATTCCCGAAAACTCCAATTTTGACTTCTCGGCCCCTTTAAAAGTGTACCTGTAGATGCGGCGGGATGGCGGATGGCAGAGGAGGAGCAGCTTGTGGAGCGGCCGTCGTGGGATTCGGCGTGGTTGTGGGTGTATTCGTGTTGATAGGGGCTGATGGAGGGGGTGCCGTCTCGACAGCCGATGACAATCCAGTGGCAATTGTGGCTGGTTGAGGCATTTCCGGGACACCGCTCACTTTCCGCAGCTCACACTCCAGAAGCGCCAGCGATGTCGTGCCGTGGACCACCGGTGGCTGCAGGGTTTGTGTCTGCAAAAAAAGGGTTATAGACCTAGAAAACGGGCCCAGAATTTCCTGTCGTAATCGGTTTCAAAATTAGCTGGTACTGGAGTGTTAACGGGGGGGGGTAATTTTCCCGCCTAGGTTGATCTAATTTATAACGTATTAGATTGTGTTTTTGGTAGTTTTTTTATGAGTAGAAAACTACAAAAACTTTAAATTAAAAAATTTTAATTTTGCAAATTCCAAAAATTTGATGGTTTTGGCCATTTTTTATAAAATTATTTTACCAGAATTTTTAGCATTTTTATGCGGATTTATATCTAAAAACCGTCTAAAATGGATAAAAACAGTTGGATTTCGCTATACGGCCGTCCGGGATTACCGGGAAAGCCCCCCGCAAACAGTCCAGTACCGCCAAAAACCACATAATTTTTTCAAAATCTGCACCTGCTGTCCAGATTTGGTGGGCGTGGCCAAGGCGTTGGGTGTGAGCGTGACCGCCACCTTGTCCTTATATTCGGGAATGTCCGTCTGGGTGTCGATCCGTTTTGCGTATGCATATTTCGGGGGCGAGTAGAAGGACGGCTCGTGGAGGGGCCGTTTCAGCACCACCTAAAAATCATGTTTTCACAAAAAAATATTGATTTTCTCACCTCCAAATTCTCGGCGCCATCAACTGGCTGGTCGGCCGGTTGAGCGAGTGGTGATTCGAGCTTGTCAGCCGGCTTCTTCCGTTTCTTCGCCTCGTCCGTCTTTTTGACAACAGCCTGCTCGGTCAGCTCGAATCCGATGGATCCGCCGAGGAAGTCGAACAGATCCCTCGTGCTCAGCTCGACTGGCTGCGCGGCGGGAGTCTGCAAAAATATTTTACTTGAGTTTTTACTTTTTTGTTTTAAAAATGTAGCAATTTTTTACAGACTCGATTTTTTCCTAAAAGCCAAGTTTCTGCCAAGTCATCTAATAGCATTATTTTAATCGCAATAAATTTGTCTGAAAATGCCCGAAAAACATGTAGAAAACTTCGAAAAATGCCTAAAAATTGGAAATTTTTCAAGGAAAACGGATATTTTTGGGTTTCTAATAAAAAATGATAATTTGGCGCTTCTAAAAATAGTTCAAAAGCACTTCTCGATTTATTATACAAAATTAAGACCCTGGAAATACTAAAGAACAGCTACAGCGAAAGAACCGAAATTTCGGGATTCTTAAAATGCGTGATTCGAAGCTCTACATTCTGAAAACTCGAGATATTGATAGCCAATAGAAAACATAAATTTAAAGCGAGCGAGCGTGAGAGAGGGAGAGAGAGAGAGAGAGAGCGTGAGTGAGAGAGAAATCCAATTTCGAACCTGTCCAGTGTAGAGATGATGTTCCAATGGCACATGCCTCTCATTCGTCGACACCACCTCAATTCGACGATTCTTGATTCGCCTAAAAGTTAGAGGAATTCAAGAAAATCGATAATTCGACCCACCCGACCCAATCGGCAAATTCATCGGCATTGGGCACGGTGGCGGACAGCATGACAATCTTCACGTGTGCCGGCAACATGATCAGCACCTGAAAAAGGAATGAAATTAGTCTTTTGACATTGTTTTATCATTTCCTAGCGCAAAGACATTATAACTTTTACCAAAAAATATGTAAGTTTTTTTGGCATAAAAAACGCTCGATTTTCGACAAATTTAAAATTAGGAAATAAAGCATCGAAAACACCTAGAGTACCTCCTCCCAGACGTGGCCCCTCTCGACATCATTGATATATTGCACCTCATCGAAGACGACCCATTCGAGCTCTCGAATCACCTCCGATCCATTGTACAGCATCGATCTGAAAATCACGAAAAATAAGCACCATTTAGAAATGATAACATCCTCAAAGAACTCTGCTAGCTAGCTTCGCATTATCGAGGCGGGCGGGATTTCTTTAATTGTTTCGAACATCGCACATTTTGAAAGATAAATAGAGCAATCTAAATAACAAGATCGAGTTTTCGATAAATTTCGAATTTTTAGAAAATTCGAGCGGCTTAGAATTGCGTCTACTTTACTAGGCATTTCTCAACCGAAATTAAGTGCAAAAATTTTAGAAACTTGGAACAAAAACTCCCTATAAGAAAAGAACCTCAAAATGAAAACGACATAAAAATGATCGATACCTCAAAATCTCGGTGGTCATGATGAGGCAAAAGGCTTCGGGGTGCAGCTGAATGTCGCCCGTCACCAGGCCCACCTCTTCGAAGATCATCTAAAACAATAGGAATTAGCTGTCGTAATCTATTCAGATGTCTTGGCAGCAGGATGTGCAAAATAAGCCGATTGGTACTGGACTGGTAGCGGGGGAGGGGGATTCTATTTAACTAACTAATTTATTTTTCTTTTTTTCTACTCTCTAATGCTTCAAAAATGGTTTATATTTCGTTATAGGGCCGTATGGGATTACTGGGGAAGCCCCCCCCCCCGCTAACAGTCCAGTACCCGCCGATTTGGCGTTACCTTGAAATCACGAAATTTCTGATTGGAGAGTGCCTTGATGGGTGATGTGTAGATGGCACGTGTTTTGTGCGCCTTGCACAGAGAGATGGCGTACTCGGCCACCACCGTCTTGCCTAAAATCGGGATTACGGTAGCGGCAAATAAGAATACCTGCTGAGGTGTGGGCGGCGACAAAGACGCTCTCCCCGCGCTCCATCCCGCAAATGGCCGCCTGTTGGAATGGGTCCAGCGGGAAGGGGTACTGTAAAAAATATACGGTATTCGGTTCTTTTGCTATAGTGGGGCGCAACGTTTCCGCTGGGTTGAATTTTTCCTATAATCACAAAAATGTTTCTAAACTTTTTTGCTATCTTTGACGTGAAAAGCATTTATAAAAACTACAAAATATGGGTTATTTGACCAAAATGCCAATTTTCGACACAACGTTAACATTCTTTAATTTTAAACTTTATGCTATTCGTAGACGTCAAAAATATAACAAGTCAATCAAAAAAATTCTATTATTTAAATGATTTTTTCTACCGAACATTGGAATCATCTAATAGCATTATTTCAATAGCACTTTTCAATAAATTTATCTGAAAATGCCCGAAAAATATGTAGAAAACTTCGGAAAATTCCTAAAAATTTGAAATTTTTTCAAGGAAAACGGATATTTCTGAGTTTCTAATAAAAAATGATAATTTGGCGCTTCCAAATAGTTCAAAAGTACTTCTCGATTTACTATACAAAATTCTGACCCTGGAAATACTAAAGAACCGACAAAAAAAGCGGCCAGACGAACTTTTCAGATTTTACACATTTTCAAAACTCGTTGTTAAAAAAGCTCCATTTTTTTACCTCAACAACTTCCGGTTGCTCCACGGTAATCTGATCGGCTTGCGGCTGCTGTGGCTGAGCGACGGCCAACTCGACGTCGTACTGGAAGCCAGGAGGGCGCTTCAGCAATTCTAGAAAAAGATTCGAGAATTCTAGCTGTAAACTATAGACAAACCGTTGAAATCGAGGTAGCGCTCCTCGTCGTTTTGGAGCGTGACGTCGTGCGACATCTCCAGAATCCGGGACAGCTCCTCGTCGAAGCCGCCTGAAAAGGGGAGATATTTATGACCATCATTATTATTATTGTTATTACATTTTTATGAGTCAAGTACTAGCAAACATATATAGTTTTTAGTAAAATTAGCCCATCGGCCAAGTGTGAAAAAAAACATTGTAGAAAGCTTTAAAATAGTAAAAAGCTACATTTTGGCCGGAAAATCGATGTTTTTGGACTTTTTCATAGAAATTTATATTTTTGGAGCTAGGAAAAACAGTCAAAAACTTCATTTCTTTATATTAGAATAATTAGAAATAGCAAAAAGTGCGCCGAAAATAGGAAATTCACTCAAAAATAATTTTAACACTTTAAAAATAATTAGATTCTAAAAAGGCAAAAACCGACCGGGGAAGAAGGGGACATTGTTGGAGGAGCCCTTGATGGTGACGGCGCCGTGGAACGGAGCTCTAAGCGGAAATCTGACGCCAGAAAACAGGGATATACCTTTGTAATGACATGTTCGTGTTGGTGCCACCCAGCTCTTCGCTGCCCTTCACCGCCTCGTGCACCGCCAGCAATTTGCCCGCAGGGTCGAGCTCGGCCCTAAAATGGGAGATTTTACAATTTAAAATATTTCCTAGTATTTCTAAGGGTCCAATTTTTCGGATAAAAACAGACGAAGCGTTTCTACTCGTTTTTAATGGTTCTAACGTTAGAATTGTATGAATTTTACGCATAAATACGAAAGAAAATAGATTTATCCATCAAAAATGGCCGATTTTCAAGCGAAATCTAAAATTCTAAACCTTTTTGAAGTGTTCTATATAATGTTTTCTATATCTTCCGCTTGAAAAATCGCTAAAGGAAAAATTATGAACTTTACGCCAATAAATCATATATTTGTAAAATTTATTACGTTTTTGTAGTTTTGCTAATTGAAGACTAGCGAAATTTTAGCAAAAATAATAACTCTTGGCTACTTATAGAAAGAACTGAAAAAAAACTGAACTTATTGAAACCCCCCCCCTCGATATTGCAAAAGTGCCTTGAAAATCAGCAATTTTGAACTTTTAGCTAACAAAACATAAGATTTTTAAAATTTACTTGAGAAGAACGACGGGATCCAGCGTGACGAACATATCGTCCTTGAGACGCTCCCATGCCGTTTTCTTCGATTCGGGGATCGCCGCCGAGCTTTTTCTAAAAGCAAAAGGTTGTAATTTAAAAGCTGGCTTGCAAGAGGCTGGGTTTGAGAGAGTATTCGGCACAATTGTCCGTCAACGTTTTGATGGCCGAGACGCGGAACGTCTTCAGGGCCAGGTATAAATAGTCGTCCATCACGAAAATGAGATATAAATCCAGTGTTGAAGAGGAAAAGAAATGAAAACCAAGAGAAGAGGGCGAAGAGGTAGAAGCCGAAAAAACCCGCCTGAACCTATTTAAAACTTTTAAAAAAAATAGCATTTTTGCTCCGAGTTCACGAAGCAAAAGGCCTAAACGTAAATTTACTTTTAACCGCTCAAGAACAACATTTGTAAAATTTACTACGTTTTCTTGATGGTTTTTCCCACTTGAAAATTGCTAAATTTCAATAAAAACATTATTAATGCACTGTTTATTACGTTTCTAGGCAGATCCGGACAAGAGCAGAAAAAAGGCAGGCCTGCAGTTTCGGGTGTAAAACCCGAAAAATGAATGTGTAAATCGAGGATTGACGGAGGAAATAAGCAAAATGAAGATCGCGATTTTCAGCGGAGAACAATCCGCAAAATTTGCACAGGTTCTTATCAAAAATAGTTTTTGAAAACTTTTAACTAGCGAAACCAGACACGGCATTCTCCTGAGCACAGGATAGGACCCCCCGGGGCCGCGGCGCAATCGGTTAGCGCCGATCCCAAATCTCGAACAGAGGGTCCGGGTTCGACCCCCGGGACCCACGTGCAACCGCTGTTTCTCCCCCAAGACCTTTGCCAAGCTTTTGCGTTTTGCTTAAAAACTGTGCTCCAGCCATTGAAAACTGCTAAAACAATAAGGATCTGGAAAAATTAACCCGATCAAAAAGAGACGGTTGATCCACTGGCGTACATTTTCGCAAAACAGTCACCTTGGAGCTATTTAAGCGTCGATTTCAAGCACTGGGGGGTAATCGACCTTGATTTTACAAAATCTAGGCTCAGATTTCAGCGACAATGCTTGGTTTCTGCGCTATTTAACAACTTCAACTGAACTTCAAAAGACCATCACAAAAAGTACCAGAATAGATTTTCGATAGTTAGGTGCCAAAACCTGCGCCTTGGCGTCTAGAATATTTAAATCTAATTGAGTTTCTATTTTTTTATTAAAATTTCGAGAAAAATTCAGTTTTGTCCAAAAGTTTGTTTTTCGGACAAAAACGTAGCGAGCGCGCTGTCCCCTTGTGCAAGGGAGCCTGCCGTAGCCCAACAGCTATCCGTGCCTGCCTGTTAAAGCCTGGAATGGCGTGCAGAATTCCCGCATCGTTTTGCGCCGAGCTTACGAAGCAAAAGGCTTAAAAATGGGTGTCGGATGGAAAGAATCTGAAAAATTAATATAGAACCACAGGATTGCCGGGGAAAAATAGGCGAAGCGAGGGTGGTAAGGTCCAGCCTAAAGTTCGCCCGTTTGGTTAAAATATGACGCTTTTCAAACGCTGCCAACCGAAATCAAAAATTCCGCTGTTTTCCGACCGTTTTCTGTCAAAGACCAGTTTTCGAGCTTCAAGCAAGCCAAATTCCACAATCCCCAGCTTTCTGTGCCGTGATCTATTTCTTGGAATAAATAAGCGAAACGAAGATTGTAGTTTTTAGCCAGCAAAGTTTGTAAAAATGACGTTTTGAAGTTTCACTTTCAAGTTAGCCAAAATCCCTGAAGTTTATTGGTCCGATATCCAGTAGAAAATTTTTAAGTAATTTCCAAGTTCTCCTGGTATCCAATTCTTCTATCAAAAATCGAGGAAATATAGGACACGTATTTCGAACCGGTTTTAATACCTAAACGCAAAAACCTATCAGATTCTCGTTTTTAGCTTATAAAATATTGTTTTTTCGCCGTTTTATAGAGCCGCTCCCGATAATGCACAAGAGCCAAATGTTCGAGTTTTTCTCAAAAAAAAATGGACCCCAAAGACCTAAAATCACCAAAAAAACTCTAAATCTAAAATCGAGTAAATCAAAAACAAAATTCAGAAGCCGATATCGGTGTCATCGAGTGTAAAAAGCATCCGTTCAAGAGCCATAAATAAATTCGTTTATATCAAGCAAAAACTAGCGTATAAAAAACGACGAGAATCAATTAATTTAAACGAAAAGAGAAGAGAATATAAGCGATCACATTCTATCGAAAATGAGGATCAATGCGGCAAATATCACAACTCGAGAAGATTTGAGAATAGCCATTTGAGGAAAGGAACGAGGGAATTACAGTAGTCTAATTTTTAAGAATTATTTGCAGACCCAAAAAAACAACAGAAAAAGTAAGACAATTTGGCTGGGGGCTATTGCATCGGATTATGCCTAATGAATAAGGGGGAAAAGCCTAGAACATATCACCCAGGAAATAGTTGAGGGTTCGATCGATGGCGAAGCAGCCGAGCAGGTCGCCCAGCACGCTGTACACCAGCGCATCGCTGATCTGGAAAATATAGTCATTATCGCTGGAGCTGCCAATTTTTTTCTCAGAATCGAATTTTTAAATAGCAATAGCGAAAAGGTTTCTAAACGGTTTTTACTATTCCTAAACGTTCAAACTAAACAAATTGCTACCAAAAAGTACCAAAAACATAGATTTTTCGCCAGAGTTTAGACCTTAATTGCAATTTTAGAGTTTTTCTCGTTAAAATATAGTTATATTTACGATAAACACTAATGAAATACTTACCACGGTGACCAAGTCGTCGCTGGCCCCGAACTGCCAGTGCAAACACGGACCCGCCGGAGAACATGATCGAGTAGAGCATCGGCTTGTTCTCCCACAGACTCTCCATGAACGGGCGACCCTAGAAAAAGTGATTTTCACAAAATAACCGAGGAAAAACTAACCCGATAGTTGACGGCAAAAGTGCAGACTTGCAGCGCCATGGAGATGACATAGACGGTCGAGTTGAGGATGTTCGGAGAGAACGTCGCCTGATCGATCTGTTCCGGCCTAAAAAAGGAGGTTTCGGAAAACAGCAATTAATTTTACCGTGGCTCAGCCTCGTGCGCCAGTCCGACAATTTAGAGCAGCACGTAGAAATGGAGCGCAAACTGCATCGTCACCGTCAACAGGGTGTACGCGTTGAAGATGTTGGCGAGCGGGCGCTGGCGGGACAGCGTTTGTAGAGGCTAAAAGAAGATATTTTTTTGTAAAAGGGGCTTCTCACCCTGATTCTCGAGACGAAACGGAAACTGGCGGCCAGGAGGAGATCGTCGCCTGCATGTCAATACAACAAGAATATATTTTTAAACTCGGTAGGCCAAAATTTCGCTACATTTCAAGCGTATAACTATTCTTCCACGCCGAAAAATGTTAAATTTGAATAGAAAATCGGTATTTTAGAATTTTTAGAAAATCCGTATTTCCTTCGAAAGGTCATACCCACCTGAATTTGACGCTGTCGAGGTAGAGCACCGACAGGGAATAGGCAGAGAGGAGGGCGTTCAGCGCGAGAATCTTGAACATCTGCAGGGTGGTAACGAGCGTGCAGCGGCCCTGCTTGATCACGTGGCACACTAAAAAATAAGATGAAATTAAATAGCCAAAAAACTACGTACCGCTTTGGATTGAGGTGTACTTGCTGGTGAAGGGGGCGGCGATGCTGGCGTCACCGAGACGGACAACCTGCGCCTTTTCCTCCTCCACCAGCTTCTTCCGGTAGCCGAGAACGCGGGCGGAGGGACGCCCGCTCTGGCAATAGTGATTTGAACGCCCAGCGAAGCACGGTGGGGCCAATTTTGAAATTCTTGAATTGAAATTGTTTTAATTTGAAATGTTATATGATTTGAATTTAATAATGCAACCATTTTTGAGAGATTTGTGCATGGTCAACTAGGTAAACCTAGCCCTTGGAGACGGTCCCTCGAGTCTTCTTGCCGCCGCCGCCGGTGGCTGCTGCTGCTGTTGTTGTACTTGTAGTTGTTGTTCCCTGAGCGCGGCTTGTGCCTCTTCTTTCGCCTTGGCCTTCGTCGCGTCGAATGGGTGGGAGAGGAGGGCGATTCCTAAATTCATTTCAAAAAGCCAAAGAATTGGTGCCTACCAACGTTGGCATGTTTCAGCGCTCCGACATCATTTGTGCCATCTCCACACATGAGTGTCATGTAGCCGAGCTGCTTGAACTCGTTGATCACGTGCTCCTGGAAAATTGGTCATGAGGAAATGTGGAAATCAAGACTTTATTGTTTTACTTGAAAAACTTTAAGCTGCAAATCCATTTTCTATAGGAATTTCCAAAATCAGAATACATAAATTCTTACAAGAAGTCTAGTGCAATAAAAATGTTGACTGAAATCAATTGTTTTGAATTTAGGCATTATGAACTGAGATATCTTGGTTCTTTGGCATTATCGGGGACTGGAAACAAATTTCTTTGTATTAATTTAGCAAAGCCTAGGAACTTAATAGGGGATTTTTATAATGTTTTCAGCAAAATTTTTAACATTTATCACAGTTTTTAGATATATTAGGTTGGAACTAAAGTTCGCGCAATATTTTTCCTTCTTTGTAATTTTCGGACCGGAAAACGGGCAAGAACCAGAATATGTTTTTGAGGATCGGATATGCAATAAAATTCCTCTATTCGATGTGTGGGACGGAATCGCGTTGCATCCCTATTGGAATTTTTAAAGCTAGATTTAAGCGAAAATGAAAATCGCTTCGGCCCGCCTTCTACAAAACAAAATTGGCTTCCTTTTTAGGCTAATTCGGCATGCAGCCAGTAGAAACAACTTATTCTCATATTGATGATCAATTTCTATGGTGACTTTATGGCGGTTCGGAAAGATGTCCGGGTCAAAAATTTGAAGTGCCCTCGAGAGAAACGCAAAAATCTTAAAAACTACTGGGGCTAAAAACCTGTAATTTTGATCCCAAATACTCATGAACCCAATAGATATATGCAAAGAGGGAATATCGGAATCTGGCCACTAAATTTTCAGAAAGAAATTTCCAATGTTCGATTGCGCGAACTTATGTTCCAACCTAATAAAAAGATCACAGATATTATGAAAAATTGCGAAAATTTTGATTTTTTGGCCAAAAATGTTTGAAAAACGGCAAAAAAACTCTGAATTTTCGAATGCCGCAATATTTTTACATATTTTTATCGGTTTTCAGCTATTAAGAACTACTAAAAACACTAGAAAACACATTAATAGTCGAAAAACAAAAATTAATCGACCGCCACCAGTACAGTACCGGAAAATTTCCAAAACTTACAAGGAGATGGTCTCAGCTGGGAATCGAATTCGTATTTGAAACTTTGCACACTGGAGCTCGACGAGACAATCGATTGGTGTAACTTTCAGCTGCTGATACAATAACCACGCCGAGTTATAAGCATTTTAAGTTTTTGCATACATTTTGCATTTTTTGGGCCATAGCTTCATAGGCCTTCCCCGCCTCATCATCACCATGGTCTGGTGGCCTAGTGGTGTAGTAGGCGGGCTCCGGGGAGTCTAAGGAGGGTTCGAACCCGCTCACGATTTTTATTTTTTGCTTTTTCGTACGAAGGTTCCTCTTTGCTTTCTGAAGGCCTTGAATAGCTTTTTACGCATTATTTTAAATCCTCTGGTGAGAAATGGCTAAAAAAATCTATTTGAAAAAATCGTGAGCGGGTTCGAACCCTAGTTAGTTTCCCCGGAGCCCGCCTACTACACCACTCAGGCCACCAGACCCCGGTGATGGGGAGAGGCGGGGAAGGCCTATGAAGCTACGGCGAAAATATTGCAAAATGTATGCAAAAACTTAAAATGCTTATAACTCGGCGTGGTTATTGTATCAGCAGCTGAAAGTTACACCAATCGATTTGTCTCGTCGAGCTCTATAAGTGTGCAAAGTTTCAAATACGAATTCGATTCCCAGCTGAGACCATCTCCTTGTTAGTAAATTCTGGTCCAAAATTCGATGGTTTTCGCTTTAAAAGACCGAAAATAATAACGGCCGCCCTCACTGGCTAGCCCCGCCCCCTTTTGGTTTTGGGACAGAGCCAATAGCAGGCTCTATACACATTTTTCAAAAGGACAATTCCTAAAACCGCTTTACAAAAGTGCTGTTTTCGAAAATGGCCAAAAGCGAGGCAAAACTATTAAAAGAAGACAAAAAAAGTTATTTGGCACTGGACGCTTAGCGGCGGGGCTTTATTCTAGAATGCCGGTATTGATGTTTCCGCCTATACCCTTTTTTTCATGCATTTTTTATCAAAAAGTGAGAAAGTTACGAAAATTTTATCATTTTTATGAGCTCTTTACATCTAAAAACTGAGCAAAAAGGCCTAAAAATTATTCATATTTCGTTATCGAAGTGCGTTCTCAGACTGCGTTCGCAGTGCCCGGCAGCAGGACATGTTTCTTGCCTGAATCCTGCTTTTCAAGGCGCATTCGATTAGATAAGTTAAGCAATTCAACCTAGATTACTTTGCGCAATAATTTTTTTTAGCTGGATTATGTAAAGTACCCTCGGCAAGCCCGGCTGCGGCCTCGGGATTTGTGCGCGGTTTGAGGATACCCTCGGAGATTTCGTCGAACACTTGCACTACTCTAAAAACCCGATCAATTATTTAATTCCAGAATTTACCGCTAAACTCGACGGCCATAAATGCCAGACCGCCGATGATCATCGCATTAGACTTGTTCATCTTTCTAAAAACAAGAAATTACGGTTCTTCCCTGTTAACGGGGGGGGGACAGTTTCCCCCAGTAATTCTCTACGGCCTTATAACGAAAAATAAGCCATTTTATAGCATTTGATCCAAGTTTTTGGATATAACAATCGCAAAAAAAAACAGAATTGTCTTTAGAAAATTGTTGCCTTGTTGACCTATGCAAAACGACCGAAAAGGAAAAACTTTCAAACTCCTTCCCCTCGTTAACAGGAAAGAACGGCAATTACGGCAAATTTTAAACTCGCCCTCACCTCCACGGCGGCCAAATATATTCGCGAGCATGCGGGTAGATGGTCGTCGAAAAATCGGAGTAGCCCTTGCCGTTGCGCCGATCGCTGTAGTGCCATATGTTCTTTTTCACGGACTGAAAAGATGCTTTTTGAAGATTTACAACTAGCCAACGGTCGTCGATTTCCCAAAGAATAGCTGCTCGTTTGCCCTGCACAAAATTTCGCAGCTAAAACCCGTAAAAAGCTAGTTGTTTTCAGATTTTCACTTCGAGCAAAATTGCGAGAGGTACACTGCTCACTTGCGCCTCACAAAATCCAGAGATTTCCGCACTGAAACGCTTTCAGAATTCCAAAAGAATCGCTGCTCGCTTTCCCTGGGACAAAATTAGCAGTTAAATCTACAAAAAAAATGTATTTTTTGCAGATTTTTTCCCAGTTCTCTGGAATTTATAAAACCAACTCCCGAATTCCGTAAATAATCTCTGCCCGTTAGCCCCTCCACAAAAAAAAGAGTAATTTCTACCTATCGAAGCCCAGAAATCGCCTCGCAGCGCCGAGTAGGCCTTCAGCGGATCCAGGGCCGCCGTGGCGGAAACGTTCGGCTTGTCCGGTGGCTGCGTGCCGGTGCATCTAACAATTAAAAGAATAAAACTACAAGCTACACACCGACTACCTGGCTACGCAATAAAACTGCGGTCGGCGTAGAAGGCGTGCACCCGAGCCGCGCAGCATTGGAAAGCCTAAAAATTGGATTAGTTTGTTGGGTTGTCTTACTAAAATCTAGGAAAATGCCCAGCAAATGTCTTTTGTAAAATTTATCTAAAAGCAACCTTATCGTAAATTTTAGCTCAGGAAACGCTTCATTGCTCGGAAAATGCCTTTTTATGTTCCCGCCTAAACGATTGAAAAAACCACTGGTCTTAGCGAATTTTAGGCGAAGAAACAATTTTTCGATCGTTGAAAAACACCAAAAATCTTTGTATATTATGTAGACTACGCGGGGGGGGGACAGGGCAAATTGGCCCTTTTTGATATTTTCGTGATTTTGTCGGGATTTTTGCACGCCATTCGATAGAGCATCGACAAATATACTAAGAGTCTCTGTAAGCTCCTATTGACGGCTAGTTAGACCGATCGATATTCTTGACCACTGGCTTGATAGCGCATTCTGAGAGCTTCATTTTTATAGCCAACCTGTCTCCCTAACTCAGCAAAAGTGCCATTATTTTCCTCTTCAAAGTTTTTTACTTTTTCGAAAAATGTTCAAAACTTTTGGTACCATTCAAGTTGGGGGGCCAGGCAAAAATTTTTTTGGGTAATTTTTGGGCTACTTGGTCAGTGCTTTGCGGCTAATCAAGCGCAATACTCTGTGATCGCAATGCGCAATGCGCCAGATACATGACATTGTCGCCAATCCTGCCTCGGATATGCTTTTCCGTGCCGTCGCGTAGTATATACGCGACGTTGGAAAAATTTTAGGAGAGGGAAAGAATTCTCACCTCATCCTCGCTTTTCGGTACTGGATGCTCAAAATTGCCGGACGCGCGTAGTGTTGTTGTGTTGAGGGTTCGCTTGGCACTTCCCATCATCCCCACCATCCGTAATCGACTCAACGCACGCAGCATACTCCCGTTGTAGTTACCCTGGAAATAAGACAAAATTAACGAGGTATCCTAGGGATCATCGAAAACCAACATTCAGCGAGGGAAATGCACTGCATACCACACACACAGGCAGGTACTATCGGCCGCGGGAGCTCATACGCACTCTTTTTGCATATATCACAAACGATTTATATAAAACTTTTAAATAAGTCCTAGAAATATGCCGAAGCTATTAAATAATTTTATAAGACATTTATTAACTAGTATTTCTTAATAAATTACGGCGCGGCCAATAGTAACTGCCTGTGCGTGTGGTATGCCTAGGGAAATGCAGGGGCTTGAGGAAAGCGTTTTCACTTATTTCCGTCTTTTCTAAGCGGGGCATTTGGTAAAGCTCGAGCCCAGGGATCCCAGGGATGTCAAGACAGTTTTTCAGTATAAGGTTGTAAAAGCTGTAATTCGTATTAAGTCTTTGGACTACCGGCTCCCTGGGGTCGAGCTTTACAAACCGCCCAAGAGCGGAAATGCACGCAAAAAAACAATTTCTACCAGATTTTGAATGGAAAGTTTTAGCTCTAGAAATAATTAAACCGTTGAAGGGGTGCTTTCTATTCGAAAAATAGCCACAACTGTTCTAAAATCGTTGTTTTCCCTTATTTCAGTATGTTCTAATTGTTTTTGCTGGGGCAAGAGCTGAAAAGCACACAAAACGATAATTACCAGCTTTTGATTTACCAAAGAATCCAGGGAAAGTGATAGACAAGCCCTAATCTTCAATTTTCCAGAAGCCATCGCCGCAAAAGCTTAAAATAACTACTCAGGAAAGCTAAACTCGCGGTCGGACCCGTTGGAATGGGTTCGACCGCGGTCGGAAGCAGAGAACGGGTTCGACCGCGGGTTGGAACCCAAGGACGGTTAGACCATGGGTCCGACCGCAGGACCACGTCGAGGAAATCATCGCTGCTACTGGTTTAGGATTAGAAATTGAGATCTATTTGGAAATGGGAAATGGAGTGGCTTGACTGGTGGCAATATCAGACCGCAGGCTGGGGCTGGGTTGAGAAAAGTTCCGACCCCGGGTTGGAAGGCGGGATAAAAAAAAGGGAATCGGCTGCAGGCCGACCGCGGGTTCAAGAACGGGCCCGAGTTTCCTGACAAGGGAAGGGCAAGTGCACGAAGTGGAAATTCGAAAAACGCTCGCGGCTACCCCTAGGTTTTCGACTACGGCGATTCCGATGCGCTATTCAGAATTAGCCACCGAGGTCTGTAAAGCGAGATACCGCACTTCCGGAAAAAGCATAATTTGCATGCGCGTAATTAGAAAGCTACTAAGGGTTTATTAGGATCTTTCACGTAAATACCATCAGCTGTGAATTGGTCGAGTGCCAAGCCACTCGCTTTTTGAAATACCAACGGGGGTTCGGATCCGCCCTGATTTTTTTGTGTTGCTGTGTGGAGCCTAGTATTGCAGGTTATCGCCCCGTTTTCCTCATGGTCGAAAAAAAATTCTGTTCAAGGTCCGAGGTCCAACCCAAAAATCACAAACTTCCAAAAAAGAAAAACAAAATGAGAGTGGATCCGATCCGTTGGTATTTCAAAAAGCGAGTGGCTTGGCACTCGACCAATTCACAGCTGATGGTATTTACGTGAAAGATCCTAATAAACCCTTAGTAGCTTTCTAATTACGCGCATGCAAATTATGCTTTTTCCGGAAGTGCGGTATCTCGCTTTACAGACCTCGGTGGCTAATTCTGAATAGCGCATCGGAATCGCCGTAGTCGAAAACCTAGGGGTAGCCGCGAGCGTTTTTCGAATTTTCACTTCGTGCACTTGCCCTTCCCTTGTGAGTATAAAAAAAGAAAACGGCTTCGAACAGCTTTGTTCAAAGTATCAAAACAAAGGCCAGCTCCAGAGTAAGTTGCCGACAAAAAGGCAGCGGAAGCCAACACTGTGAACACCCATAAAAAGCATTAAAACTACAGAAATTTATTCCTATCGCATCAATAAAAACAAATAATAAAAAGCACACTGAATAGAGGGAATACCCGACAATCAAAAAGGACACAAATCAGAGCATGGCAATGAGAAAGTAAGCTTATTATTCGCCTTTATAATGCGGCTTTCTCTTCTCGGCAAAGGCGGCCAGTCCCTCGATACGATCACGGGTTGGGATCACCTGAAAACAAGATTGCCATCCAAATAATCATAAATCTAGAAACCTGTGCATAGCATTGTTGTTCGAGCAACAGTCCACTCTGCAGATCCAACTGTGATCCCGCGTCGACGGCTATCTTTGCCACTTTCACCGCGATTGGGCCCTGAAAATTGCATTGAAAAGTGGGTTCTAACTAGGGGAGCCCGAATAAAACAGAATCGACTATGTTGATGATCACCTCGTTGTCCAAATTTCTACTTATCTTTAAAACGCGAGGTATGCCACTTTTAGAGCGAGCCTTCGTCAAAATTCAACCTCGATTATTTTGATCTACCCGGCCGATTTTGCAAAAATAAACCACGCCAACGTGTTCAGAAAATTTTGCTCTTTCGAATGAGCCCTCTCACTCAAAATTTTCGAAAACTCGATAAATTGGAAAAATTGACGGATGGTATGGACTTCGATTTGGGCCATGGTGCAATACTTCAAACAGCTGTAAGACGCGGTCTAGACGAATCCTGCTTTCTAGAAATATACAATTCGAATCAAAAAAATTCTCTAACAAATAGGCTACTTCGAATAAATGAGATATTCAAACAGAAAAGAACGCCATCATGGCAAAACACTTCTCGGGGGCGAAAATCGACAGCAGAAGATAAATATCTCCCAGTTTAAAGATCAGTAGCAAATTCGGACAACGACGTGATGATCCGCGTGGTCGATTCTATCTGTGTGATAATTTTCAGCCAATTCTGAGTTTATTCGGGCTCCCCCAGTAGCAAGTGCGCCAGGGTGGTCGATTAGTTAGTGTTTTCGACTGTAAGCGGAGGGAGACCAAATTTTTGCCTTGAGGTTCCAATTTTTTTGTAATATAAATCAAGAAAGTGTTGCTAGAGAGCTTTTCATTATTCTTATAGGTCAACCCTCAAAAATGCCTGTTTTTTGACAGAAATTTTGATTTGTAAAGTTTTAGATAGTTTTCCGCATAAAATAATTAAAAATACTAAAAGTATGCGCGTGAGACAATTCGAAAATAAAAAAAAAAATTTAATAAAAAACCCAATAAAAAAAAAAAATTTTAAATTTTTTTTTTTTTTTTCAAAAAAAAAAAAAAAAAACCTCAAATTTCAAAATTAAAAAATTTAATAGAATCCGCATACCCTGGGCAATATTTCGCGTGCCATTTCGAGGGCCTTCGCATAGGCTCCCTGTCCATCGGATCCTTTTGCAACGGCCGCGTTCACCAGTCCCATTTCGGCGGCTTCCTGGAAAAAAAGGGATTTCCCAACCAACCGGTAAAAACGTACGGTTGCCCCAAGAATCTTTGCCGTGAAGATGAGCTCCTTGGCCTTGGCGACGCCGACGATGCGCGTCAATCGTTGAGTACCACCTGGAAAAAAGGAATTTCGGTTCTTTCGCATTAACGGGGGGGGGAGCAACGTTTTTTCTTCGGATATAATTTTTCACATTTGGATTGTGGTAGTGTTTCTAAAACATTTTTCTACCATTCCTAAACATGAAAAAATAGCAAAATTTTATAAAAATAACAAAAATATCGATTTTTATTTTGCCAAAAATTCCGACTTCCCCCAGCTTTTTAAATTTTGTAGAGTTTTTGTAGATATTGTTCTGGATTAGATTTCTAGATAGTTAGATTTTATTACATTTAACCTCCTATTAGTTATATTTTTTTGACCAAAATTTCGACTTTTTTGAGTTTTTATAAACTGACAAAAATCCCGTATCCCCCCGTCAACCCCATCTGTGCCCCATCACTCGCCACGCGCAAATCGCACGACAACGTCGATTCCAGGCTACCGCCCAGCGCCACACTGCAAAGCAAAAGAATTGTATGATTTTTTTACTAGAACGCATAAAATTAGAATGCCTTTCAGAATGCATAAATTTTAGAACATCTAAACTCAGAATCCATACAAATAAATCTCAGAAGGCATAAATTGCGAAAGGGCTAAATTTGATTCGCGAAAATCCTACCCTACGCCCCACGAATTTACCTTGTGAAATTTCGGAATTCAAAAATTTATTCATTTTGAAATTAAGGCATTCTGATTTTAGGCATTCTGAATTTATGCTTTTGATTTGTAGAAATTCTAAAAAATGCCAAAATCGTCAAATAGCGTTTTTGCCGAATTTGGCGATGTTTAAATTGGAGAAAACGACAAAGAGAACTTCCATGCTTAAAAATCTAAAATTTTGCATGAAAATCGACCATTTTTACGTTTCCAAAAGGTAAAATGGGTCTAGAAATATTTCCTCTATTCGTATTAGAAAAACTAGTTGTGAAAGTACCGAATATTTTCGAATCAAAACAGCAGCAAAAGGTACCCATCAATGGCCGCAATGGTGGGCACGGGAAGTGACGAGAGTTCGGTGGTGGCCGCCCGGATCGAATCGACGAAACGGGGCACTTCTTCGGCACTCATCGCTTTTCGCTCTTTCAGATCGGCCCCTAAAACTTCGAAAATCATCTAATTTCGCGTTAGAATCACCTGCGCAAAATGCCCCATCGACATCACTCTTCAGGATCACCACTCGGGCGCTTCGATCGAATTTCAGCCCGGCCAGCGCCTCGCGAAACTGAAAAAAGTGGAATGAAAACGGGTGTGGAACGTTGGTGGGGGTTTCAGGTCTATAAATGCTTATTGATAAATTATAACGCATTTTGCAGTACTTTTCGTGGTCCTGAATCTCAAGAAAGTCCCGAAAAATACGGGACAATCTGCAAAATTTGCTAATTTTTGCTCAATTTCATACCATTTTGAACGAAGAGGTGGCATTTTTTTGGATTAATTTATATTCTAGGTTAACTTTCTCTGCCTAAAAACCGCTAAGCTTGCTCGATCACTAGCATACCGGCTAGAAACGCGAAAATAGTTTTAATCTTGGTAAATTTACCTGTGAAAGCATCAATTTGCTGATGGCATTGCGTGTCTCCGGCTTCTTCAACCTCAAAACGACGATTCGTAAACTATAAATGGGTAATTATAAACGGTGAAATGCCTATCTTGATCCTCTCCATCAAGTCGATCCGAAGCGAAGCGGTTCTTGGGCCGTCGAGATGCCGCTTAACAATGATGGGCCGATCCTTGGCTTAAGAACCCCTGAAAATAGATAAAATTAAAAATGTGTTTTTTTTAATGAGGGAACGAGAAAGCAGAGAACAAAATGCTACAAATTTGCCCATTCGCTAACAACTTTGAGAGCCTAAAAACAGGAAAGAGATCTGGTCAAGTCCTAGCTGTGCGCGCGGTGGAACGGAACTTGTTTCGAAACCTCGAAATTTAAATATCTGGCCTCAAAACATTGGCAAAAATTTTCGGAAACGAATGTCAAAAAATGACCAAGGACTGGCTCTGGGCAATACGCAAAGATCCTCCAACCGTAATGTGAACGGACGGAAAAAGAACGCCAATATAAGAATAAGAATCGGATCGACAAAACGGGGCACTTCTTTAGCACTCATGGCTTCCCCCCGCTGAGATCGGCTCCTAAAACCCTCAAAAATCATATCATTTTGCGTTAGAAACACCAGCGCAAAATGCCCCAAAAATTCGGCTTATTTTAGTTTTGCGGGAATTTTTCCACTGGACACCTAGCAAAATTTTACTAAAAACATGATCGCAATACTTTTTGTATTAGATTACAAGGGTTTCTAGACTTATACGCAAATTATTAATTTACCAGGGTTGAAAAGCCGCTTCGCGACTTTTCAACCCTGGCCCTGTCTTATCCAATGAGAGTTCGCAATTTGCATAATTCTCGCGAACCGCAATGCCAAAAAATTGAAAATACGGCTTCGGTCTCTTTATATAGGCTTTTCTCACTTCCGGCGCATGCTAATTCATTCCTAACAAAGCTGGTGACCAATTTTTACTAAAAACCTAATTTTAATATCGAAAATAGCACTTTTCCGGCGATTTGACATGTGTGCAGTGGTTCCGAGACCATTACGCATCTAATGACATATCAAACATGCTCTAAAACCCTTTCTCTATCGAGATACTACTGGAACATACTGACGGAAGTTGCATGCAAAGTTACACACACACATACACTATTTTTTATATATCCTATCCTACCTTATATAATTTTGGGGTGTATCTCTGTGTGTGTGTGTGTGTGGATGTCACTTTCGAGGCCCGATTTAAGGGCCTTCCCCTGGATAAAATGCGCTGATTTTTTGTCACTGGGGGGAATCGACCCTCCTCTTTCCGATGGCGTTTTCAGAATTTCGATAAAACACAAGTTTACAAAGTTAAAACCGGTTTTCTTCATTTTTGGGGGTAATTTGCATAATATGAAAAAAATACAGATTTCCTCATTCTTGCAATTTGCCCGCGCGTGCGTGGTCGGTGGGGAAAGGGGTCCGAAGGACCCGAGCTATCGGAAAGTCAAATTTTTCATGCAAAGGCCCGATTCCAGCGCCCAAAGCCCGCGAAGCGGGTTTTGGGCGCTGGTAGTAGGATAACTCCGGCAAACGCTAGCTCCGATAAAATCCTATGCTAACAACAAATAAAAGAAAAACACTTCCGGTTCAAAATCGGGGGTAGCGGGCGTAGCCCGCTAACCCCTTTTGGTTTGAGGCAGGGTTGGTCATTTTTGACCGGGTCGGGCATGGACCGACCTGGCCTAAGGACCCCGGACCCGCAGAAATTTGCATGGGTCGGTCCGGTCCGTCCGGGTCCAGTCCGGTCCGGGTCCGAAGTTGCGTATTTGCATTTATTTGAGATAGAGATTTAAGATTCTAATTTCCTCGGAAAAAGACAACGGCATTAATTATAATGGTTTTATCCCGTATGATTCCAGGGTATATAGGAGTCGAGACCTGAGGCATCAAATCACAAATCGTGGCAATTTTTGGCAAAAAATTGCAAGTGCTACATTCCTGGCGTTACGGGGTGACAATTGGTTACGATCGGTTGTTATACAATGTTTAACTAGGCTAAAATAATAACAGGCCGAAGTTAGCAGACGTGAGAAATGTCGTGCAATATCGTGGAATTTATCCAGAAATCGGCATGCAAATGACCGGACCCACCGGGCCCGGACCCGGACCCGACCCGGACCCGGACCCATGCAAATTTGATCGGTCCAGACCCGGACCCGGACCCCCGGGTCCGGACCGGGTCCGGGTCCGGGTCAAAAAAGACCAACCCTGGTTTGAGGTACCCCTTTTGGGGACCTTTTCTGGATTTAAAAGAGAATCAAGCATCGGATCGCAAAACTGATTACACCACCGGAACCGGCGACACTTTTTGCACAATATAAGCTCTTAAAATTTGAAAAATAGTTAAATTTCGAATTTTAACAGCCGATTTAAATTGCGTTTGTATGTGTGTGCGTACGCAAAACCTTTGTAGTCGTCAAAAAGTGCCTTCCCATGGTCCGTTTGGGCTGAAATTTTCCACATATATCGACTTGATGTAAATGAAGGTGATGAAGAAGCGTTTTTTTCAAAATAGGTTTTTAGAAAATTTATATTTAATTTTTAAGTTTAAAAGCTAAATTGCGGCCAAAACAAGGGTTAGTGATGTCCGTTTGGGCTGATATTTCGCTCAAATATGCATTAGACCTTGCCGGATAAAGTAAAGAAGAAATTGCATGAAAAGAATGCTTCTCCTTTGAGATATTATAACTTTAAACCTTGGCCATACGAGGCGCCACCCTCTCCTTTCGCGCCCCCCAGCCCCAGTCAGGCGGGGCGTCTAGCTGCCCCAACACAGGCGCCCAGTCTCCCTTTTGGCCAAGTGGTTAGTACGCCATATTGGGAAGCATTGGCCCACGGGTTCGAACCCCACCGGCAACATCCGTTTTGCCGATTGGCCCCCAGGCATCGTTATGGTTTCTGGTACCGTTATAAAGCGCCGCAGGCAGAATTTTTTCAAGTATTGCGTACAAGGGTTCATCTCAATAAATATCCGATGGTTATTTGATGATCTTAACAACGAAATTGAGGCAAAAAGGGCTAAATTCTCTCTAAGGCTAAAAGAGTCTTTTTAAAAAAGGGCCTTTGGTTTTCGCAAAAAGAGATGAATTCTCGTGGCAACAAAAAGAGCTAAATTCCTTTAAAACTCTCAAAATACCACAAAATGCGGGATCAACCAAAAGTTGCTGGCACCTCATTAAAAGGACAAATCTGGTTTTCAGCCGTTTCGGATTGCAATACTTTCTGTATTATGATCTATCTAGACTTTCTTGAAATTAATCTGTGGGCCTGACCTATAATAGAGGACAGTACCAAGTTTATTAAGATTTTAACTAGCCAGGAACTTTTGGTTGTTCCCGCATGTTGTGGTATTTTGCGAGTTTTAAAGGAATTTAGCTCTTTTTGTTGCCACGCGAATTCCTCACTTTTTGCGAAAACCAAAAGCCCTTTTTTAAAAAGACTCTTTTTAGCCTTAGAGAGATAATTTTAAAGTCGAAATTTTGCTCCAAATTCAGTCAGGTTTGATGCAAAATTTGTATAGTTTTTACGTTTAGGAATAATAAAAACCGGGTAGAAACACTACCGCTATTTTATTTAAAAAAATTGGAGCCTTAGAAAAAGATGCTCCCGCCCCGATAATGGTAAAGAACCAATATTTGTGAACAGATTCTGAAAATTCACAAATACGATAGTGCGCAATGATGATTTTCGAAGTTCAAATTTCAATGTTTCGCCAGCGTGTCCATCTTTTGAATTTTTTTCAGGACGGAAAGACGCGACACGACATCTTCCTGGTTGTCGACAAGACGGGCACATTCCAGGATGCCGGCTATCGAAAGGCAAAAGAAGCAAAGGTACGCATTCTCTCCATTAATTATCGATTATTATTCTCTAGGAGGGCATCAAAAAGACGGCCAACAGCATCCGAGGCGGTAAACAACAATTCCAGGGAGGCGGAGGAGGGCACAATCGCAATGTTAGCATTTTTGCAGGATTTCTGTAAGTCTCTCTCTCTATCTCTCGCTCTCTCTCACTCTCTTTAGCTCTCGATTTTTCATCAAATTTTTGGCATTTTTTATTTTTGCTTTTTAAAATTTTTAGAAGGGTTAGCGGGGGGATCTTTAGCAAGGGGAAACTAATTTATGTATTTTGCCCTTTACCTATTTTTTGCTATTTATAATGTAAGTTTTATAGTGTTTTGAGTAGATTTGATAGCTAGAAAGTTATGTAAAATCTCTAAAAAATTCAATAACTCGAAAATGTTGACCTTTTTGGCCATTTTTCATACATTTTTTATCAAAATTTGCAAAATTTTGAAAATGGTCAAATGTTTTTATGAGCTTTTTACGTCTAAAAACTGCGTAAAATGCCATAAAAACTAACCGTCCAGTACCCCGTATCGTTTTTTATTCCATTTTTCAGGACAAGAACATCTACATCAATCTGGTGGACCATTTGCGGTCGAGGGACCAGTTGCCCGTCGTCTGTTTCGTCTTCTCCAGGAAAAGGTGCGCTGCTGAGATGTGGAAATTGAATTATTTATGCTTTTTTGTAGATGCGACGACAATGCGCAGATGCTGTTGTCGATGGATTTGACGACGGCCCTCGAGAAGAACCACATCCATCGATTCTTTCATCAATGCGTTCAGAGGCTGAAGGGAAGCGACGACGGTTGTATACCGGTAACCGGGATTTTGTACGAAATCGGGGATTTTAGATTCGTATTTGGGAAATCGGGGATTTAAAAAAAGGCAAATTCGCCTCCGAAATCGGGGATTTTAGCCGGTCCGATCTGCCGCTTTTAAAATCCCCGATTTCGGCGGCTCCAAAATCCAGGCGAATTTGCCTTTTTTAAATCCCCGATTTCCCAAATCCGAATCTAAAATCCCCGATTTCGTACAAAATCCCGGTTACCGGTATACAACCGCACCTTATCTGAAGGCGCGCGTTTCCTGCTGTCAAGATGCGCCATATAACTTTTGCCTAAAGTCGCCATTTTCGGTCCCAAAAAATGCACCGTAGATTTTTAAATAAGGGCATTCTGCAAATTCTGAAACCATATTCGGAAACAGCGAAAAAATTCTGCACAATATAGGCTGGGTCACATCTCGGATTTCTTTGCTGACCAAAAACACTTTACTGTAGGGGGGGACAATGAATGTTTCCATGTCAAGTGGCTATGGCTAGAGGGGGCACTCAGCGGGGGATATCTCTTTCTATTCCTTCCTTTCGTTATCCAAACCGCCAATTATCCATTGCCCCCTTGGCCTCTTTCTTCTCTCAAAGAATGCCCCCTCATTGACCGGGCCATAGAACACGACGATGATGACCTAATAGAATTTGTAGACACGGAGAAGGGTGTGTTTTATCTTACCGCCTGGGCGAGACTGGAGTCAGATAAAATTTTTGGTGCTTTTGCCTCACCTAGGGGTTCTTTTGTATCCGGGGGAACGCATTTTTTTCTGTTGGCCCTGGTGGGGATAGTAATCAAATAAAAAGTTTTTTCACCACGTTTTTAGCAAAATTTAAGCCTATTTGAATAGGAAAACGTTTTTTAAAAGTTAGAAAAACGCTTGAAAAAGTCGATAATTTGGTCATTGTTGGGCCGAAAAAAATTGATCTTTCGACCTAAAATTAAATTTTTTAATTAAATTTTGTAAAGTTTGTATGCTTAGGAATAGTTAAAAACAATTTAGAAACAATTCCGCTATTTATATAAAAAATATAGGCTTGGGCCGAAAACGTTCGGTACTAGGACATCATATCCAAATTTTGTGTCGATTTCCCGACGAAAAATGGACAATTTTAGCCAAGTTAAGGTCTTTTTAGGTAGTTTTTCAGCTTGAAATAGCGATTTTACTAAAAATAATACTAAAAAGGTTACTGTTACCTTATTAGGTATTTCAACACTTATTGAAAAACGTCGCCCCCCCGATAATGCAAAAGAACCTATTAATTGTTTTTTAGCAAATTTTGCCATTTTTTTCTGTTAGATCGGACGAGATTTAAAGATTCACTTTAAATATTTAAAATTCAAGGTCTTTAGGCAGTTTTTCAATTAAAATATGGCTAAATTTTGCAAAAACTACTAATACGTTACTTACCTTCGATTACGTTACTAGGCATTTTTGGTTTGTAGAACAAATTAGCTCCTCCCCCGATAATGCACAAGCACCATTTACTTATTGTTTTATTAAATTTTGCCACTTTTGTTGTTAAAACGAGATGGAATAATCTATTTAATTTATTTTATGATTTTTATTATTTTTATTATTAATATTTATTCATAGACAATTATTTATCGATATTGAAAAACCTGTTGATCGAGGGAATATGGAATGGCGGATTGTTATAATGGGCGAAATGGATTTGATTTTGTGAGAATATTGGCTGTCTGCCGTCAGCCGTCTCTCTCATTCTCTCGCCTCCTCCCTGTCCCCCTCCCTCTCCCTCATCATCTTCTTCTCTTCTATTCAGTGATGTCCTGTATTCGTGGACATCTTCTACATTTTCCGCGGTCCCCTCGTCGATCATCTTCTGTAGCATCGAAATGTACCACTGGGCAACGCTGCAAAATTACAGGTATTTTTATATATTTTGTTAAAAATATCGATTGTTTAGATTTGAATTTTCAATTTTTGAAAGTTTAAGAATTAATTTAGATGTTAAATTTGCTTTTTTACTGGATTCCTGATTCTGATTGACTGGGAAACTTTAGAAAGGGTAGATTTTATTGATTCAAAATATGGAAATTTGGCTGAAAATATTGAATTATTGACCGTGATCCTACTATCAACTATAATAATTTCCTTGACGCGTCCGTCTGTCTGTCTGAAGCCGAATTCAACTCGAAGGGGAAAGGAGCTAGAGCTTAGCTCTCTTCGGATTCGGATAGAGCGTGGTCAGAAACCCCCTAACTGATAAAAAAATTATGAAAAACTTTTAGTTTAAATTATTAAAATTAACTTTGAAAGTTTTTTTCCTTAGTAAAAGGGGTGGGAGATGGAGGTTGGGGGTATTTTGGACAGCCAGGTCGCGCGTGTTTCGTGGATGAAAATTTTCACGGGGGATTTCATTTCTTTTTTTTTCTCTCATTCCATCCGGTCGGTCGTTATTTTTGTTTTTTTAAAGGGATTTCGGCTAGGGGAGGCATCTGAAGCCATCAGGAAGGGATTTAGGTAGTTTTGAAGGGGATTTCAGCCATGGGGGGGTATTGATGGAGGCGAGAAAGGATGTGGTGGAGTGGGACATGTAGGGTAGCCCGAAGGCCAGATGGTTGCAGTCGCGAAGCGACTGTAACCATCTGTTATATAAAAAAATAGTGTGTGTGTGCCACTTTGCATGCAACTTCCGTCAGCGTGTTCCAGTACTATCTCAATTAGGGGGTTAGCTAGGGGAATGTATTATAAGTCATTAGGTGCGTAATGGCCTCGGGATGACTGCACACTAATAACATTTTCAAAAATTTGCTGTTTTCGACGTTAAAATTAAGTTATTGTTGAAAAATCGGACACCCTCTTTGTTAGGAAACAATTAGCATTCGCCGGAAGTCACGGTAGCCTATATAAGGGAAGAAAGGCCGCGTTTTTTTGTTTTTCTCATTTTTTGTCATCGAAAATCGCGAGAACATGCAAAGTGAAGAATATCATGAGCTTAGACGGGGCCAGGGTTGAAAAGTCGCGAAGCGGCTTTTCAACCCTGGTTATTTATTAAATTTTAAATTCAGATCTAAATGCCTATTCCTGGAATGTCTCATCTGACATGAAGATAGTTTGAATCGGTCTTAAATTTAAAATTTTCAAAAAAGATTGAAAATTAAGTGAAAAGTGAAAATCTTAATTTTTCAAAAATTATTTTTAATTTTTCGATTTTTGAAGTTGAATTGTTCGCTTTGCATATTTTGCCGTTGGGAAAGGCTAATCTGACTGCCAAAGAATACAATAGAACACTCATCAAAGATATTTGTAGCCTGGGGCAAGAAATAGAGTCTGTCAACCCACCGACTGTCAACCGCCCGGCTATTGTTTCGGGTGATCTGGGGGATTATCCCCCGGTTTTTGCCTTTTTGAAGCGGTTTGGCCCCGAGCTGGCCAAGTTTTAGCGTTAACTGACGGACAGTGAAGCTATTAGCATCATTTAAAAATTGAAAATGAAAAATTAGAAGGATTAGGTTTTGTTTTTTCACATCGAAATCACCAAAATAACATTCGGAAAATAGCAAAATCCGCATTTTTAATGCGCTTTCATGGTTCAGCGGCTTAATTGGCAGCCAGGATAAACGATAAAAAGTAATTTCGATAGAATATGCAAATTTCCCAAGATATGCTAATTTTTGAAGAATCGAAAAATCCGAAAATTCGTGAAATTAGCTTTTTGTAATTTGGTTTTGGAAATTAGAGAAATTAAAGAAATCTCAAACGAAATATGCAGAGTTTGCATAAATATGCTGAATTTTCGAATTTTTTTTGATTGGTTCTTCAATAATTTCAATTTTGCTGTGAATTAGCGTACCGCAGCGTCTCGATCTTGGTCATTTTGGGTTCCTCGGGCATTGCGGGGAGAAATGTGCGAAGATTCTCGAGGGCATCATTCAGACTATTCATTCGACGACGCTCTCGCGCATTTGCCTATTAAAACAATTTAATTTTTTCATCTGTATTCCGCGCACCTTATCCCTTCGATTCCTCTTGGATCTCTCAATGGTTTCCGGACTCCTCACCCGGCATCGATACTTCCGCTTCTCGCGTTTTGGCTGAAAAATCGCATAATTTTCGAAAATTCTGATTTTAAAGGGCAGTTTTCGGTCTTCCGGTGCTTGTGCATTACCGGGGGGGGGATACAAATAGCAATAGGGAGTGTTTTTTACTATTTCAAGCGTAAAAACTGTACAAATTTTTTAAAATGAATTTAAATCACTAGTTTGCACGCAAATTGGCGATCTCCCCTCCCCCCCCGATAATGCACAAGTACCGATTTCGACGAAAAGGCAGAATTTTACAAAACACACTATCCAAGATATTTCCGATGACGTTATTAGGCATTTCTGGACGTTATAGGAAAATTGTTTCCCCCCCCCCGATAATGCAAAAGTACCGATTTTGCTATGTAAAATAATAATCCTACTATATATAAAAAAATAGTGTATGTGTGTGTGACACTTTGCATACACTTCCGTCAGTATGTCCGGAGGATAACTCAATAAGGAAGGGGTTTGAGGGCGTGTATGATACGTCATTAGGTGCGTAATGGCCCTGAGATGACTGCACACCTATTAGAATCATAAAAATAAGCTATTTTCGACATTAAATTACGGTTTTTGTTAAGTTTTCGACCAACCTCTTTGTTAGGAACGAATTAGCATATGCCGGAAGTAGAAAAGCCTATATAAAGGGCTGGCACGAGAGTTTTTATTTTTCTCGGTTGATTGAGGCGGAATTATGCAAAGTTTACAATCTCATTGGGCCCAGACGGGGCCAGGGTTGAAAAGTCGCGAAGCGGCTTTTCAACCCTGGTGATAATTATAATTGTGTTTTTACCTTTTTCTCGGCCCGTCCGCCCCCGGAATTCGAGGCGGAATCATGGAAAGAAGAGGAGAAAATGGAGGGCAGATTATGAGGATACTGTAGCCCTCCGTTCCTTCCAAATGACGGCAGAGGGAATGCTGGAGAGGAGAGAGGGGTTGAGCAGGACGAGGTCGTGCTCGTGTACGACATTTTTTCGGATCTGAAAAATTCCTAAAAATGCGGTGTTACGGTAACTGGAAATCGGAAAAATGAGTTTTTCAGAAAACCACTGTAATTTCATGCAATCAATTCGTTTTTTTTTTGAAAAACGAAAAGGGATTGGCCAAACCGCAAATAAAAAATGCGGCAAATTTCAGCGTCACATTTCAAAATTGTCACAAAAATCGTATAAAACGGAAATCCTTTTGCCTGAAAAATTTTGCAACAACAAGGCCTGAAAAAAATCCTTTTTTTTTGAAAAATTTCGGAGGAATTTATCGAAATCAAATTTAGTTGTTCAAATTTGAAGATAGAATGGACGCATTTTAAAAGCTGCAAATTGCGGTAATGGGAATAAATAACTGATTTTTGATTTCTTCAAAACCAAGAAATAGCCATTCGAAAAATCAATTTGGAAGCGTTACGAAGGAACCTCGCGCAGGATTACGGTAGTCAGGAAGTGCATTTTAAAGGAACTTGGAAGGCTAACTGGCTTCCAGTCTAGCTATAACCGGAAAATCCGGAGTTACGGTGTGCAGCGAAAAATTCTGAGGAGCCAATTCTAGAGATTACGGTAGCTGGCGAAAAACCTAATTTTCCGGGTTTTCAAGGGATCAGGAACCCAAGCTGGCATCCAGTGAAGCTAAAAACCTAGACATCAAAGATTACGGTGACCAGTTTACTTTTTAAAGGCACTGGGAAGGCGAGCTGGCATCCAGCCAATCTAACAAATTATACAGGGTGTCCCAAAAAAAAGGACACCGGCCGCATTTCTCTATTTCGGGTCCGATCAACTTGAAATTTTGCACAGAGGTAGCGAAGCCAATTTCCCATGAACACAGAAAGTTTCAGCCCCATCGGTCAGCGGATTTTAAAGTTATAACGAAAATACTTTTTATTTTTTTATTTAATATGGGGAATTCTGCAATTTGCATCAAAAATGTGCGTAATTTTCTCATTTACGAGCTGATTTTGCATAATTTTTGCCGAAAAATCTCATTTGCTGTTTTTGCGCTTCGTAAGAGCGATTGCGCATAAGAAACAAAATACGGTGAAAACAATAGTTTTTTGAGCACTCAAACACACTTTATTGAAGTTTTGGTCAATTTGACATACCTTGTCTTCGATACAGCACTCGACCAGCTCTAAATTAATGCTTAAATTCAAATCGAGGCTTTAAATCTATGCGTAAGCCGAAAAATAAATTAAAACAACCGGTGAACGTATGTTACAATACTGGTTTCTTATATCTGACGGTTTTGTGGATCATTTTTACTTTCCATGCGCAATCGTTCTTACGAAGCGCAAAACTGCAAATGGCCTTTTTCGGCAAAAATTATGCAAAATCAGCTCGTAAATGACAAAATTACGCACATTTTGATACAAGTTGCAGAGATCCCCATATTAAATAAAAAAATAAAAAGTATTTTCGTTATAACTTTAAAATCCGCTGACTGTTGGGGCTGAAACGTTCTGTGTTCATGGGAAATTGGCTTCGCTACCTCTGTGCAAATTTTCAAATTGATCGGACCCGAAATAGAGAAATGCGGCCGGTGTCCTTTTTTTTGGGACACCCTGTATATCGTAGGTTACGGTAGCCAGAGCAATTTTTAAGGGTGCCTGGAAGCCAGGTAAGCTAATTTTGGCCCAAAATTTTTTGGGAAGCGATAATCCGAGCCGTTTAGGGGGTACGGTACCGCAAAATGGCCCCCACCAGGGGTGTCGATTGGCGTGAAGGGGAATTAGCCAGAGGGGAGATCCCGAAAATGAGGGTGACAGCTGGGGGAGGGATATCTGAGATGGGGACCGGCAGAAAAAGGGGGGCGGAGTCTCGACAATTAGAGGAGAGAGAGAGAGAGAGAGGACAGAGAGTGAGAGAGAGAGACAGAGAGTGAGAGAGAGAGACAGTGAGAGAGAATGAGAGAGAGGCAGTGAGAGAGACTGAGAGAGAGTGAGAGAGAGAGAGAGAGACAGTGAGAGACAGAGAGAGACAGTGAGAGAGGGCGATATTTAGTAATTTTCTATAGCCCAAAACATTGTCTATTATACCCCCGTCTTTCCTTCCTCCATATCTCTATGACAATGTCTTTTGTATTCCCGTGGAGTCATTCGAGGGTAATTAGTTGTCGAATGGAACGGCTGGCTGCCAGTCAACATGATATCGGGTCATTAAAGGTCTTGGCGCGTCACAAAAACTATAGAAACCACATGTTTTACATTTTTCTTTACCTCGGCTGGATGCCAGTTTGTCGATTTGTGTGTCTGTCTGTCGGCTGGTCAATCGGATCTTTGGCTTAATCCCTTAATTGTCCGTCAGTTCGTGGTTTAAGCATGCTTCCGGCCCCAAAAATTCCAATTAAAGGCCCCGGGAAGGCAAAAATATACCAAACCTTTTTGCTGGCTGACAGCTTACAGTAATCCTATTTTTTGATCAGTCTGTCCTCATTGGTCCTTTAACAACGATTCAGTCTCTAAACTTATCTCCAATGACCCCAGAAATATTTTGAGGTTAGGATTTCCGATTTTAAAGGCCCCCGCAAGGCAAAAATATGGCCAAATTGGCTGGGAGGTGGTTTACAGTAATCGATTTTTTTTTATGGATTTGCCTTCAACGATGCTTTGAAAACGATTTTCTAGCTAAACTGGCCTCCATTAGCTCTAAAAAACGGCACCAAGCTTCCTCAAGAATCACTGCTGGCCTGCCCTCTACCGTAATCTGGCTCTTCCACCGGATACCCTCAACCCAAAATAATCCCCCTAGATAATCCAGTGATCCGTGATGTTTTGGTTTGGTTCAGTTGACTGACTGCCCTCCCTTCCCTCTTCATGCTAATTCTTGCCCTCATAATCCACTTATCCCCCCTTATAATCCACTAGTCCCTGGGCCTGTACTCTTACGCAATCATCAGCTGCCTTTTCTCTCTGTCTCCTTCTCTCTCTCTCTCTCTCTCTCTCTCTCGTCTCTCTCTCTCTCTCTCTCTCTCTCTCTCTGTCTCTCTCTCTCTCTCTCCTGTGTCTCTCTCTTCCCTCTAACCTCTCAATTAGCTACAATCTCCAGCACTAATTGGCTGATTATGCGGAAGAATCGAGGGCTGGAAGCGGTGATTAGCAGAGGTTTTTGTGGATTACATCGACATTGGAAGGGTCAATGGGGGTCAGTTTAGCGATTGGATCGCTTTTACAGGACCATGCAAGCCAGCTGATCAAATGATTTTGCATACTGTAAACTGCCTGCCAGCTGAAAATTTGCTCTATTTTTTGCCTTGCTGGGGCCTTTAGAATCGAAAATTCTCAGTTTTCGAGACATTTCTGGGCTCAATGGAGGTCAGTTTAGAGATTCGATCGTTTTTCAAGGACCATTGAGGGCAGATTTGGCAAAAAATTTAGATACTCTTAAAGTGCCAGCCAGCTACAATTTAGGCATCTTTTTGCCTTGCCGTTTTTGTGACTTGCCAAGACCTTTAATGACTCGATATGATGTTGACTGGCAGCCAGCCGTTCCATTCGACTACTAATTACCCTTCAGTGACTCCACGGGAATACAAAAGACATTGTCATAGAGATATGGAGGAAGAAAGACGGGGGTATAAATAGACAACTAAATATCCCTCGCTCTCTCGTTCTCTCTCGCTCTCTCTCGCTTTCTCTCTCTCTTGCTCTCTCTCGCTCTCTCTCTCCTGTCTCTCTAAAATCGCCTCATTCTTTTTACAAGAATATTCAATTACGACATATAATTCAGGCTAGCTGTTTGCCTTGTAAGTGCCTTTAAAATCAGCTTCTCGTTTCTCGAATCCCTTTTCCGGGGGGTCAGATATTCAAATGGACCCCATCTTTCCTCTACCCACCCATCCACCCATTATTGTCAACCATTTATGGGGGGCTCTAATTTATACAAGGGAAAAGAGGAGAAGCTGACACTCAGAAAGAGGCTCAGATTTTGGAGGGGAGAGGGAGGGCAATAAAGGGAAATGGGGCGGAGAATGGGTCAACTGGGAGAGAGAGAGAGAGACAGAGAGAGAGAGTGAGAAAAGAGAGAGAGAGAGAGAGAGAGAGAGAGAGGGTGAGTGAGAGAGAGAGAACGGAAACGAGACCATTGCTTAAAAATGGTCCTAGCCGGCTCTTTCCTAATATCGGGGGAGAGGCGTGGTATTGGAGTGCTAAAAATTTGCAAAATATTTTCGTGAAAAAGACATTTTAAAGGAACTTGCAAGGAAAATAGCTAGCTGGAATTTCATGGCGTAATCGAATCGGGATACGGTAGCAAACGAAAATTCGCAGGTATTGCAATTTTTCGATTTTTCTTTTCAACAACAACTTTTTCACACAATCTTTTTGGAGGTGCCGAATTGTAAAAGGTGCTGTTTGCCGACTGACGGCCAGTAAAGGGATAGGGTTACGGTAGGGGGTTGCCGAGGGGGAATCACTCAGCTGGCAGACAATAGAGGGGATAGAGGGCCCTCGCTTGGTATTTCTGGCCCCAGGCAACGAATATCCCCTCTTTCCCACGAAACTGTCAACCGCCCAGCTATTGTTACCGGTGATCGGGGGGATTATCCGGGGTTTTTGCCTTTTCCAAGGGGTTCTGCCCCGATCTGGCTACGTTGCGTTTTGCGTCAACTGACGTACAAGGGAGATTCTCAAAGGGCGAAACGTTGAAGATCTAAAAATTATGGATTGAGACCCCGATTTTTACTTCCGGTCAGCTCAACTGGCAGCCAGATAGGGCAATGGAAAGCATTTTGGGGCCAAAATTCAAAATATGAAAGATTGAGTAAGGCGAATAGCTCAACTGGCAGCCAGAAAAGCAGAAAATGCAGTAAAACACGGTATCCTCAAAAACGCGTCTCGTTTTCGGGTTAATGGACCCACGGTGAAGCTCACCTTATCCCAGAAAACAGTGAAAATCTAAAATGATGGATCGAGGCCTCGATTTTTACTTTCGGTCAGGTCAGTTGGCAGCCAGAAAAGGTCGAGAAAGCTGTTTCTAGCACAGAAAAGTACAGTAACCCGCCAAAACACGTATTTCCCTCTGACCTACAGCCTACCTACCGATTTCAATAAAAAGGCAAAACTACAAAACTTCGAGGTTTGAAGCCCGATTTCTACATCCGGTCAGCTCAACTGGCATCCAGGGACGGCAAGGGAAAGCTTTTTGGGGCTAAATTAACAATTTGAAGGATGGAGCAAGAGGAAAAGCTCAATTGGCATGCAAGCAAAGTTCAGAAAAACGCAAACACTCCCAAAAACACAATTTATCCCAATCAAACAATGACATGGCGATCAGATCATTCTCTTCTCTCTCTCGCTCTTGATTGTCTCTCTTTTCCTCGGCTCTCTCGCCCGTGTCTCTCCCCTCATCGCAAATCATAGAAGAACGCCTCGATATTCCGCGTTCCGTCGTGCAAATGGATGAACAGCTGCTTGTAGACGCTGCAAAAGGGGGATTTCATCCGTTTAATCGCTCAACTGGCTGGCAGTTTACCGCTAGAGACTACAAGCTACTCCCTACTGTAATATAGCGTACTTTAGTGTACAGTCGCGTAGTAATGACGGTATTAGAGTGTCATTAGCTGTCGCCGGGAGAAAGCTGTCACTGCCCCTTTAGCCCCACTAACCTATTAACTGGCTGCCAGTCTATAATTAGAGACTACACACTACACCCGGCTGTTCGCTACAGTAATCTAGCGTACACTTTCGTTTGCAGCGTACATTGTCGTACGATTGTCGTTAGCCATAGGCCGGAGAGTACTGTCCCTGCCCCTTTAGCCCCTCAAACGTTTAACTGGCTGCCAGCTTACGACTACAGACTACAAACTACACCCTACTATACCCTAGCGTCCTCTAGCGTACAGTAGCGTACTATTGCCAGCGTCATGTCGTCATTTGTTGTGGATTGTAGCGTACAGTATCCCTTCCTTCCCCCATTCCCTTCTGGCTACAGTATACCTATCGGGTAGTTGTGCCACTTTCTTGTATCCCCTTGAAGAGAGAAGATGCTGATTGGCCTTTGATGTCGCCTCCGAGACGATACCCTGCACTCCATCTGCCTGTAAATACGGAATTACATGGAACTGGATGGAATTTGGAGTGTTTTTGGGCTTTCTGCCAGCCGGTTAATGGGATTGGAAAGTCTGGGCATTAAAAAATAACCAAAAAATCCAAAATTTCCAAAAACTTAATAGCTTCGTTTTTTTCATAAAACCTATTTTTCTTGTCTTACTGTAGTCAAAATTGCCGATTTGAATAAGGATTACGTTTTTCTGGCGGGCAAATCAAAGATCTGGCAAGTCTGTTGACCCATAAAAACCCAGGGAAATGGCCTAAATTTAGAAAAATGAAAAAATCCTTAATTTTTGCCATAGACCTTTTTGAGTTTTACTGTATTCTAAAGTTCCGATTTTAGCTCAATTTTCGCTATTCTGGCTGCCAATTAAAGACACTAGAAGACAGTAGACACTAAAAGAAATCTCTAGGCGCCCGAATTTGCACTAAATTTGCATAAAAATCCCGAAAAAGCGGACCTTGAGCTTGTCGAAGTCGAGCTGATGATGAAGCATGTGGGCACCGAGACCGAGACGCTGATATCCCGGCGAAATGAACGAGATCTCACGGCTGAAAAAGACAAAAACTAGATTTCGTAGGATCATAGGTGTAGTTTCTAGTCCCAACGGTGCTTGATTGTTATCGGAGGGGGATTTGGCTCCCGCCAATAAAAAAAACAGCCTTTTAACTTTTTATGCGGTTTTAAGCAAATCAAATCAATAAAAAAATCTTTTAAAATTTTGTTGTAAAATGTTCAAAAAATCAATCAAATTAATTGGAAAAAATGTTGTAGGATTGCAAATGCCTTTTTTTACTAAATTTAATCAAAAGTTACTAAAAACTATGCAAATAAGCAATAGCACGCAAAAAATTTGCCCCTCCCCCGATACGAGTCGAGTACCCCTCCCCCCACCTACCGTAGCACCTTGTTGACATCGGGGAGGGCGTCGAGCCACAGCTTCTTCGTGTGTTCCATCAGCTCGACTGGAAGACACAAATTAGAGAGAGAGAGAGGGGGAGAGAGAGAGAGAGAGATAGAGAGGACCGGGTTACGGTAGCTACAGTACCCCCATTGCTAGCCTCGTTTTATCTTTGATGGGTGAAAAACGTTGTTTAGGATTCGCGGGGAACCAATTTTTTTTACTGGTGGTCCCGGTTGGCCTAGTAATCAAACAAAGTGTTTTCACATTGTTTTTAGTAACTTTTAACTTGATTTAAAGTAGACAAACTGTCAGAAAAAAAACTAGAAAAATGGGTACACATAGGATAACGGGGGGGGATAAAATAACGGGGGGGGGCACTCATTATTATGAATTTTGCAATTACTGTGGGATTTTGCGAGTGCCATTCGATAGAGCGTCGAAAAATATACTAAGAAAATTAATTTCAACCCGAGATAATGTAATGGAAATTTTTTATTGAATAAACAAAAATTGAGGAAAATCTATGGGCAGCACATAGGATAACGGGGGGAGAATTTTCGGGGTTTTGAATATTTTCGATATTTTGAAAATGCCATTCGATAGAGGGCCGAAAAATATACTAAGAGCTTTTCTTATAGCCCGAAAAAAGCATATTTAAAAATACTTTTATTATAAAAAAGATTCCCCCCGTTATCCTATGTGTACCGAAAAATGCTTCAAAAACTCGAAAATTTGGTCATTTTGGGCAAAAAAAGTTGCTCAACGTTTTGACGTAGTTAGTGTTGACGTAGAGCTTTGACGTAGACGACTCTACGATACTTACTGAAGGTGAGGACGTTGGGGGCGGTGATTTGTGGCTGAATGGGATACGGATCGAGTGATGGATCACGATGGCCAATACCCAGCAGACGGAACCCAACAACACGATTATCCTGCAAAAAAGGGGCGTGGCTTCGAGATTAGCTAGCTGTGACGATGCCTTCAAACTATAGACTGCGATATACCTGTTGATTGTCGATCAATTTGAGGGCGAATGGTTGACGAACACAAGCCGCGGCAATAGCCTCGAACAAGGGCACTGCTTCTTTGCCCATACGCAGAGCCTGGCAGAGAACATTTGGGAATGTCGATTGCATGTCAGTTTGTCAATTGGCAGCCGGTAAAGGGGCGTGGCCTAAATCTGCCTCCCCGGTACCTTTAAAAGGCTAACTGGCTAGAAGAAGATGGTCTACCCGGTCGAAAATCAGATTTTGTCTAGGCAAGCTAGCAAAGATCACTTGGGAATATCGAACTGATGCCAGATAGCCGATTTCAAGAGAAACAAAAATGGAGCGCGGCCTAACTCTACCGTCCCAATCCCTATAAACAGCTAACTGACTGGAAAAGGGACTATATTGGTCTAAAATCAGCTTTCTACAGGCAAGCTAGCAGAGTTGATTTGGGAATGTCGACTGGATGACAGATTGCAGATTGCAATACAGTAAGAAAGGGGCGGGCCTAACTCCGTCTTCCCAAACCCTTAAAAGCGTTGAATACCTTGGCATGTGGTTCGACGCGTACGAATTGATTGAGAAAGACATCACAGAGGACCGGCAGATCAGCTACAGTAGCCCTTTCGAAGTGGAGATGAGGGGGAAGACGGCTCACATGGCGGATACCTGAAAAATGGGAGGGAAATTGAGAGGAAAAATCGGTTCTGGACTGTTAGCGGGGGGGGTGGTTTAGCAGGGGAGATAACCAACGCTCTTTTTGTTTTACACCTATACCTATCTGATTATGCTATATTTAATATTTTTAACGCATTTTTAGTAGTTTTTGCTTACCAGAAAGTCACAAAAAATGTTGAAAATGTGGAAAAATTCGAAAATTTTGACGTTTTTGGGCATTTTTATTACATTCTTCACCAAAAAGTCACAATTTTCGAAAATTTTTATCATTTCATGCATAGCTTTATGCTTGAAAACGATGTAAAACGCTATAGAAAACGTTTATATTTAGCTATAGGGCCGTAGAGAAACACAGGAAAAGATTTCGTTCCCCCCCGCTAAGGGTCCAGTACCGAAAAAGCGCTAATTTTAAAAAAACAACAAAATCAGCGCTACCATTGAGAAGAGGAGGAGGCATAATAGTCAGTGAACCGATAGAAAAATGAGTGATTTTCGGGTGGAGGCCATTTCCGAGACACTTCCGCCCCCATAAAATGCTAATCAAAGATTCCAGCCTTGGCGAGTGCAATCCACACTTTTCAGAGTGAGGTTGCTTAACGGGGGGGATCGAAAGATCTATCCGAAAATTGGGACTGGTCTGTTAACAGGGGGCGGGTGATTAGCGGTGAGAAGGGAAGCCAATTTTAATCTTTCCGCCGATGCTGATGCGTTCGTCTTATACAATGTTTAGAGACAGGGGTTTTTAGAGGTTTTTGATCGCAAGAAAACCCTAACAAAAATATTTGAAATTTTGCATTTTGAAAATTACTGGGGGAACGCGGATTCTACGTCGAATGATGTGTTTTATACAGCGCCCGCAGAAGCCTTTCTTGCTATAAGCATTTACCGGGCGCAAAACAGCTTCCCCCAACTGGGCCAAAACGTCATAAATTGAGAATTTTCAAATCGTATCCAGCGACCGAGCTCAGTCGATTTCCCAAAAGAGCGAAAAGAAATAAGGTTTCGGATGGTTTCTCTTTTTACTGTACTGTTGTCAGTCTCTCTCTCTCTCTCTCTCTCTCTCTGCCTCTCCCTCTCTCTTTTTTTTCTCTATCGCTCTCATTATCTCTGTCTCTCTCTCATTCACTCTGTCTCTCTCTCTCTGTCTCTCTCTCTCTCTCTCTCTCTCTATTTCATAATACCCTCATCAACTCTCATCAACGGCCGTTTTCTGTGTCTATGCTCAAAAGCCAGTCTTGTTGCTCGTTCTCTCCGGCTTCCCTTCCCCTCTTGGCCCCTTCCAAATGTAATGGGCCAGCCGAGACGCCAGATGAAATAGGAGGGCAATGGAAGAGAGGGGAGAGAAATGATGAGGAGAGAGACCGACAGAGCGAGAGGGTGAGAGACTGAAGAGAGGGCAGAGGGGTGCAAAGGGCCATCACTCGCTCCCACGGCTCTTCGAATAGAAGAAGAGGGGCAGGATGGTCTCTCTCTCTCTTACTCTCTCTCTTTCTGTCCCCCTCTCCCTCGCTCTCTCGCCTCAATCCTCCAAAACCCCCGGCGGGCTGCAAAAAACGGTCGGCAGACAGATGGACTGGTAGACAGACAGACAGTTGGAGAGAGAGAGGTAGCGAGAGAGAGAGAGAGAGAAAGTGAGAGAGACAGACTGTTGCGACGAAATGCGGCGTACCACTCGGAAAAAGGCGCTCGCCCAAAAAAGGGCAAACAGCGAGTGGGGGAAAAGCCGTTCGTCTAGCCGCCCAACCGAGCAATTAAGCCGTTCCCACGATTCGGGCAGTCTAGCAGATATTATTTAGGAAAAATTTCCATTGAATGAAACTTTTGCATTCAAATTGTGAAAGACACCCCAAAATCACGATAGGGCAGACTAGCAGAGACCTTCAGGGAAGCAAGAATCGCCGCGAAAGATAGCTTGTCTGCCAGCTGGCAGAGATCCCTGGAGAATTCTCAAAAAAATTACTCGATTGGCATGCTAGCAGCGATTTCTGCGGAATTGGCGCGGTGCCAGATGGAAGAAAATCGAAGATTAAGTTATTAAAGGTATCGGCAGTCACGATCCGAGGCTGAGTCCATTTGAGAAGCCTAGAATCGTGTCTTGGCAGCTTGCCAAAGTCGCAAAAAAAAAGGTTTTTGCCTTCCAGGTCCCTATAAAACACCAGATTCAGTTTCGACGATCTCGTACCGGGCAGCGTAGCAGGGATTCTTTGAGGACGGCGACCGATCTGGGCTTTTCGCGGATCAGAAATACCGTATTGTCGCGGAAAAACGGATTTTTTCGTTCAGCGACCGATTTTTGAGGTATGTCCAGGTAGGCTAGCAGAGATTCTTGGAGACTGGCGTCCAGTCAAGGTTTTCGCGATTCAAAAGTACCGTATCTTCTTCATAGCTGCCGGTTTTTCGATGATTCATACCGTCTCCAGCCATCTTTTTCAAAAAAGCCCCCAAAATGGGGCGTTTTCCGCGACCCGAAGTACCGTATGTTCCTCAAAAATTTGGTCCTTGCGTCAAATTTTTGCAAAAAATGCCCATTTTGCGGAATTCGACCTTACCGTAGATCTCGAAAATCAAGTTTTTTTCGATAATTCATTCCAAACCGCAGAGTTTTTCCAATAAAAAAACACCCAAAAAGGTGCATTTTCGCGATTCCCAGGTACCGGATCATCAAAAATCTGATTTCACGGATCATTTATACCGCACCCCCAAAGTTTTTTTTGCAAAAAGTGCGAAAAGTGCATTTTTGCGATGCAAAAATACAGTATATCACTTTTGAAAATCCAATTTCCCCGATTATTCATACCGTACACAGCTGGTTTTCTATAAAAAACCGTCAAAAAGAGGCACTTTTCGCGATTGAAAATTACCGTATGATCTGGAAAATCTAATTTTCCGGGTTATTTCATATCATACAAAGCGATTTTTCTACAAAAAAACCCCAAAAAGGTGCGGTCTCCGGGATAGAGACTTACCGTATCCTCCGGAAAATCTCAATTTCGGGTTCTTCTGACCATAGGCCACATTTTTTCTTGCAAAAATCGGGTAAAAGGGCATTTTCACGAAGGAGACACCTACCGTATCCTCTTCTAAATCGCCTATTCCCGGATTATTCGTACCGTACCCGCCAATTTTTCTACAAAAAATAGATACCGTACCATACCATGTTTTTTTTGCAAGAAATCCCCGAAAAAGGGGGGCATTTTGGGGGTGTTAGAACTATCCATCCATGGCCAGCCATCACCCCCCACACACACTCACCCTGCAAATTGTCTACCAAAGAGACAGAGAGAGAGAGAGAGAGAGAGAGAGAGAGAGAGAGAGAGAGACTGAGAGAGACAGAAAGAAAGACTAGGCTCGAGTGATATTTTGGGGGGAGCGGCGAGAGATCCGTAGACCATAGAGAGGGCAGACACACAGAGAAATAGCACCGAAAAGAGGAGACCCAGCCCCTAGACGAGAGAGCACGAGAATCGAGAGAGAGCACGAGACAGGGCGAGAGAGTGGAGAGAGACAGGAGAGGGGCGAGAGACCCCGGGCCGAGGGCGCGGCCCCAAAAAAGAGGGGGGCGCTCGATGCGGGTGTGGAGAACGGATGGGCCGAGAGAGCATGGAGGGGAGAGAGACAGCAGGGAGGGCGAGAGAAAGAGACAGAGAGAGGCACCTGCACACCAGTATCCCCCCTCTCTACGTGCCTCCTCCCATCACAAAACCCACCAAAAGCCCCGCGAGAATCTACCATTTTTAGGGCGCAATTTATTGGCTGGCTGCCAGTTTGAGGGTTTCTAACGTTTTTACGGCCCTATCACGCATTTTGACCCTTTTTCACCCCCCTTTTCCACCCAATTCCATGCGTCGCCGCCGCCCCAAATATTGATAGTCATCTACCGACGCGCCGTCGTGCCCCGGCTGCTGTGGTGGCGAACCCCTCGATTTTGTGTCAATATTATTGCCCACCCCGAAATGCCACCGGAAATCGACAGTTTTGACCCCCCGATTTTTAAAGATTTCCCGTCGATAAAGACGATTTTCCGGCCCTAAACTTTGCCATTACATGTGCTAATCGAATAATTCGACGTGCTGCTAACCAGTTTACCTTTTTGTATGATTTCTAGAGAAAAACACACGGATTTTCGCGAGGTAACTTTAACTTTAACGCAAAATCCAATTTTATGGCTGTTTTCCGGCTAAAAACCTCCAAAAACCAGCGAATCCTGCGTAATCAGGGAGCGCGATCTGCGTGTTGTTGTTGGTTTCCGCGCTGTAAACACCCTGCGTTTTGTGCGCATCTTTTTTCTTATGATTTTCTCGCGAAATGCAACACGGCGGGCCGGCCAGCGTGGGAAATCGCTAAATATTATGCATGCGTCATGCGGGAGGGGCCCAAAATGATCGTTGTCTGTCAGAAAAGACATTTACGATGGTGAGAGAAGCAGAAGTAAAAGTTAAACTTTTAAAAAAGAATAAAAACGCGGTTTTTAGATCAAAAGGTCCGAATTACAGCGCTACACAGGAATACAACCTACACATTTTGTCATTTGTTGTAGCACGGAGCGGCATCCCAAGTTTTTGCTTTTTTTGGGAAAATCTAAATTTTGTGAAACGAAAAGAACTTTACGACTTGGTTTTAAATTTCGGTTATTGTCTGGCCCCTATTTTGCACCCTTCCCGATTGTTAATGAATTTCTGACCGCACTATCTGCAAAATCTCGATTAATTTGTTCGATAATTGTTCGAAAAACGTTTATTTCGGAATTTTTCACGTTTTATACAGCCTTTTCTGACTAAAAATGAATTTCTGGTCACCGAATCCTCAAAATCTCCATCGTTCTTTACGAAAAATTAGCCCCAGGTACCTCATTTTGGATGTTTTGGCTCGATATCACCGTCTTATCCCGTTTTTCTTGCTCCCGCCGAATTTCTTGTCGCAAAAAAAAGCTCTATTTTTGACAGGCAAAAGTTTACGAATTCTATGTTGATGTGCCGATGACTATGTGATCCCTTTCGGCGCCCTTTTTCGACAGTTTTGCCCCCAGTTTCCGGGCTGATCTGCCTTCTGCTCTGCTATTCAGGATCAACTTTACAATCTCCACGTTTTGGTGGCACCCCTAGTTTTTTTCTGCTGGCGCCAAGCGGCCCTCTTTCTTTTCTTTGCGGCCTGGCTCATTCCGGCGGGCCGGGCCGAGAATCGCCCCCCCTCTTCAGCAATTTTATCAATTTTCAATGTGTGTTTTCAGGTGATTGTTGCGGCTGCTGTGCCCCGGGTCGTCCGGATGACTGAAACCGGTCTCTAGGACTGTAGGTTTTTCTTTTTAAAATTTATTTTTTCGGTTTTTAGATGTCGTCAGAGAAGATCAATGGGACCAGCGCTGCACAGTCGTCACCCGGGTTGCCACCACTGCCGCCGGATAAGGTTTGTTCGCTTTGAAAGTCTTTTTATGATTCTGTGAAATTCTCCAAGTTTTAT